GCTGATGTTGTCACTATGAATTTGCAGGATAGATACGGATGGCTCAGACTCGTTGAACTACTACCATGTGAATGATTTGGTCCTTGTATTGGAGGAGCTCAAGTCATGCGGTAGTTTCTATATTGGTGTAATAAATGCAATTAAAAAACACTGGGATATCACTGTTGGGCTGAAAGGGACACTCAGCGGTGCGAATTCACAAATGTCCGTATGCTTCGATAAGTCAGCCAAAGAAATGGTTTCTTCTATTGATGGGGTTAAGGCTCCTCTACCAGCTCCAGAAAAACAGCCGACATCTGGAGTTAAAAAAAGGCTGGACGAAACATCCAACAATGGAGCTTCACATAATCATTGTCACAGGACTCGTCGGAAGATATCAAATTCAGCTAGTGGGCTAGATATCCTTAATATGAGTTCTGAAGGATCTGCTGAAACTGTACAAAATGGTGTGGATGTCCAGAGTCTTCATGAGCCAGCAGCATCGAGCATTTTGGATATCATGAAAGAGCCAAATTTGGATATCAATTCATCTTCCCATTATTTGGCTAGAATGAACACAAGGAAAGGAATTGAACCAAATGTGAAGCGCGAAACAGGCTACAGAAACCAGTACATATTTGCTCAGATGACTACAGCAATTTCTGTAGAGCTGATGCGTAAGTCACCTACCCGTACCAGTGATACGAAATCTGATGAAGAGATAGCTTCTACCCAGGTGAAGACTATATTGATGGAAACCACCAAATTTCAATGGCGAAACATCCAGAGCCTCTACCTAGATGCATGGAAAGAAAAATGTGGATGGTGTCATTCTTGCAGATCTGAGGATGCCGGGAGTGAGACAAATTGTTTGTTTAACTTGAGTCTTGGGGCTTTACGGGGTCCTTCGGAAAGTGAAGTTGCTGACAGTCAATCCATTGAGAAGAGAAGTCATCTTATGACTATCATATGGCAGATATTATCCATGGAAAGTCGACTGCAAGGTCTTTTGGTTGGTCCATGGTTGAATCCACAGCACTCCAGGATTTGGCGTGAAGACGTTCTGAACGCATCAAATATATCAAGCTTGAAACATTTATTAGTTAAAGTAAGTTTTTCTCAAGTTTCTTCCTCCTCGAAAATTCATTTTACAATGGTAAGTGGCGTGTTAAAATGTTTCTAAATTGAATCATTGCTTTGCCAAAATATCAAAACTCTGAACTACCCCGTGCCGAAGGTGTCATATTCAAATCTTCATTATGGTCTCTGCTGCTATTTAGAACTTTAGTTTTGGTTCGTTTTCTTCCTACTTGAAAAGCTTGCAGTAATCAATTTTTATTCACCTTTTTTAGTGTGACTAGGAATGTTATATGTTAGGCTACTTCTCCATTTTATCAAGACTTAACTATTTTCAGAAGTCTTTAAGTAGGATTTCTTGGGCACTTGATTGTTGTGTAGTGCACTAGTGATTAGTCGTGTGCATCTATTTTTCGTTTCCTAATGAAGATTTTGTAAATTCCCTTTGCAGTTAGAGGAGAATTTACATCATCGTGTTCTTTCACTTGAGTGGCTACATCATGTCGATTCTACGAAAGAAATGGGCTCATCTAAACATATTCTCGTTACTTCGACACGACCATGGTCAAAGACTGCTGTTGGTAAAAGACGGGGGACATTGTTGGAGTCTGAGGTTAATCCTACTGCAAAGAAAAATGGTGGATTGACCATGTGTTGGTGGAGAGGCGGCCGACTTTCACGGCAATTATTCAACTGGAAGGTTTTACGTCGCTCTTTGGTCTCGAAGGCTGCTAGACAAGGTTTACATTTTCTCTTTTGTTCTGGCTTTCGCGTTTGTTCTTCTTCTGCCTTTAGCTATCTTTATTTTCCTCTCACTTCCAATTAGTTGTTTCATTCTTCATGCACTCTATGATATGCAGGTGGAAATATGAATATTCCAGGAATACTGTATCCTGAGAATTCAGATCCCGCTAAGAGAAGCCGACGTGTTGCCTGGGAAGGAGCTGTTGAGTCATCTACGACTTCAGAGCAGCTCGGTTTTCAGGTAATATAAATTTGGTCAAACTGAATTTAGTTATTGTTTCGCTGGTATTAGCAAGAAATACAAATGTTGAAAATTCCATGGTAATACATATCCTGACAAGAATTTCCGTTTCCATTTGCTCTACGCATGAATGTAGATGGGTATGAGATTGTAAGTTTTTAGTGTACTCTAATTGGCAAATTGCGGGGAAGTAGATTTATTTCTCTTGAGTTTGTCATCCACATCGTTTTTTTTGCTGACATTTGGAGTTTTACACACTGATCATTTGTCTTAGTAAATATGTCTACTTGTACCATGGTTTTTGCCTTGGACGGTTTTCAGCTAACAATTTACTGATTAACAGGTGAGGACACTCCATTCTTACATAAAATGGGATGATATTGAAAACAGTCATATTCTTCCTGCATCGGACAAAGAATCCAAAAAATCTGCCAGGCTGTTCAAAAAAACAATTGTTCGTAGGAAGTGCACAGAGGAAGAGACTGTGAAATATCTCCTTGACTTTGGTAAAAGGAGAAATATTCCGGATGTTGTGTTGAAGAATGGTCGCATGATTGAAGAATCCTCGAGTGAAAGAAAAAAATTCTGGCTGAATGAATCATATGTGCCTTTACATCTTCTGAAAGGATTTGAAGAGAAAAAAGCTGTACGACAAATTAGTAAGCCAGGAGGCTCTTTCAGACGCTCTGAGGTAGGAAAAGTACGGAAAAAGTCCTCAGAGGAAAAAGGATTCTCATTCCTATTTGAAAGGGCAGAAAGATCTGAGTCCTCTTTGTGTGAGCAATGTAAGAAAGATGTGCCTTTGAGGTATGTACTTATCACAACCATTTTTACCTTCAGAAGTCCTTGTCTTGATTAGCATAGCAATCCTACCTTGACTAAGCTTAAAAGGATCGTCACTTGGACCTAATACAAAACATATCTTTTAAATTTTGTTTGTTTGTTGAGTAATGATCTTTCTTAACTGCTTTCTGATGGTATTTGTTTTTCTTTAATGACAGTGATGCCGCGTGCTGCCACATCTGCAAAAGTGAGTCTCTTTTCGTATTTTTTCTGTTAACATTTTTTTTCCTTTGCAGAAGCTATGCTTGTGTAAGTAATCGTATAAGAATCTAGCCCATACGTAACACAAACAAAACTCCACAAAATTTTCTTGAACTGAAAGTGACACGTTCGAAGAAGAATTTCATCATTTTTCATGCACAAGAAAGAACTAAACAATTTCCATGTATTGACCTGCGGTACATCCGGTTTAACCCGGTGATCCCAAAGGCAATCCAGTTCACTAACCGATGTGATCCCTTTAGTCATAGTTTTTTTATTGATATTAGCTATGATAAAAATTTCAGGATTGTTTCACAAAAAACATATCAGGAGAGCGGATAAAGAAGGCATGTACATCTGTCTTCAATGCAAAAGTGAAGTGCTAGCAAAAGAACAACCCATCGTACGGAAAAGAGGGCGGCCCCCAGGGACTTTCCGTAAAAAAGTTGGAGTTCAGACACAAAAGCATAAAAAGGTCATACCTGCTCGCAAATCAACTCGGCTAAAGAAGACTAAAACCGCACTGGCAGAGCGAATTTCCGTTAGGTTAAAGAATCATAAGAAGGTTGTTGCAAGCAAACCATTGCGACGTTCAGGCAGGAGGCCAAAGCATGTTATTCGGCTGCAGGATGAAAGTAAAGTTCCTGGAGGGAGTAAGAAACGGAAACTGGAAACCAAAAGAGGCAGAGGGAGGCCTAAGAAAGTAAAACAAGAGGTTTCCATAAAAAGTAAGAGAACAGAAAGGTGCTTTAGCTATTGGTTGAATGGACTCCGATTATCCAGAAAGCTTGGTGATGAACGGGTCAATCAGTTCCGGAGAGAGAGTTATTTTATACCTTTAGAGAACTCGGATTCTGATCATGATCAACCTAAGTGTCACTTATGCGGCTCGATTGAATCTGAATCTGGATCAACTCTAGTCGCTTGCGAAATCTGTAAAGGTAATCCATTTTCTAATCTTCAACTATGATTTAAATTGCAAGAGTTGGTTTCCTATCACAGCCTGTTTTTTTTTTTTTTTAGTTTTATAATATTTGTTTGGTAATGTTTTTAGAATGGTACCATGGAGATGCATGTGGGATTAACGAGAAGAACTCAAGTATGGTGTTCGGATTCCGGTGCCATCTCTGTCGCAAACAGGCTTCTCCCACCTGTCCACATATGAGAGCTTCTGCATCCCCTGTCCCATCCTAAGCTGTGATTTTGTTAAATTGGCTGATAGAATATTCTTAGGCTGGGGATCAGGTTGGAAGAATCAGACAGGGCAACATGTAACTTGGAGATGTCTATACAATTATGGGTACGGAATCAAGGAGAAGCAGAAGCAGAAGCAGAGGAGGGAACAGTTTGGTGGTTAAGTTAGTTTGGCTTGTTGAGACTGCTGATTTGGATGAGTAGGCACTAAAGTGAAGTGGTTGACTTAGAATTAGAGTGAACAAAAAGGGGATTTAAGGACCATAGTTGATTTATAACATGATTTCATTTTTCGTTTCAGAATGAAGGGAGTCGGTCATTAGAATGCATGTAAAGAATATGTTGAATCCATTTTCTATTAAAATCCATTATTGGTAGTGGCGTTTCTTAGCTTTCTCAATTGTAATTTTGTTGGACCCTTCTTTCTTCATTGCAAAGGCAATTTACTTCTGTGCTCTCACACCAATGCTTGTTGATCTTGCATATATTAACCCCTTTTGACTACTCTCTTTTGTCTTGGGGAAATATGGTTGAGTTCATTAGCTAACTACTGTGAGCCAAACTTCATCAAAGAAAAAACTTTATTGATCAAACGAAATAGGATTCTAAAGACCAACGTCAACAGTTTTCATAAATTAAGCCAGAGCTCTATAACACATCAGTAAACACAAAGCATCTTAGTATTGAGAAACCAAACAGAGCAGAAAACGAGACACTGTCACTAGGTCGACGTGAGCTGCCTGAGATTGTACTTTGCCAGCTCCTTGTACTTCTCTACCACCCCAATTAAGCATACCGTCTGCAAATTGCAACACAAAATCCGATTTGAGTTTATATAACCAACCAATGTTTAAATGCAAAAAAAAAAAAAACTCAGCAATCAAAATTGATCCTTGTTCACCTTGACAATTTCCACCACGATCGACATATCCGGATTGCTCAAATCAACTTTGTGAGGGGCAGGTATAGATTTTGCCACTGTGTTTATTATCTTCATCCTATCAAGCCCCGTGTTTGCACGCGCTCCATACAACACAGCAAACTGCAATAATGGTATAGGCATGTAAAGCAATAGTGGCGAAGACAGGTCAACCGTAATATCGGTACAGAACAGTTCCTACCTTGCGGGGGTTATCAGTCTCAATGGGAAAATACTGTTCTACGAGAGGCTTGATGGCTCTTGAAATTTCTTCCTCTGATGGATAACACGACACTTCAATTGGTAGAAGTCTTAAGATGAACCTAAAACGCCACAAGATATATTAGCAAAAATCCGACCAAGGCATAATAACAGTTACAGAAGTCTTGGTATGATGCGAGTAAGATCAAACCTTGACATATGTTTTTTTGTTGCAGCAGCAGAAGTCATTGCATGCTGTGCAATATCTTTGGGGCTTGGGTCACCATCTCTCCTTTTCATTTGGATGAAGACAATACCGTTGCAACCCGGATCCAACTTCGTAAATCTCCTCTGTCAGAGTGAGGAAAGCAGTATAGTTAATAAGACACTTATGATCCACAAAGAGATAAGAACTTTTGTTATAAGAGCTCCCCTCATTGATCCATAGATGACAGCTTACCTTACTCTTGTCCCCGAGCTCTTTCAGTTCAGCATCAATCAGCTTATCAATAGACGTCTCTGCATTTCCGTTTGCTTTTGTTGATGCATTTGCTTCTTCCACACATGTCTTCTTTCTTGGAGGTTCTTCGACAACGGTCTCTTGTTTCCCTTCATCTTCTTCCTTCTTCTCGGTATCATTTTCTGCCAAATTTTTGACCTCACATGACCCTTCGCTTGCTAATTCTTTCTCATTCACTTGATTATTTTCGCCTTCGGTCACTTCCTTCTTATCCCCATCCCCTTTGGTTTCCTCTTCCTCGCCATTATTACCCTCATCATCTTCATCCTCATCCTCATCCTCATCTTCATCGTCGCTGTAGGAAAACGTAACCTTTTTGTTTATTGGTTTCTCAAGCAACCCAGAAGAATTTACTTTCAGGCCAGTCCCATGCACTAGCTCCTCAAAAAACTGTAACATGAAGAGATTTACATTTAATAAACACTCCACCAATTTAACGACCTGCTCAAACTTGAAAAACCTTTCAAAAAACCCTCTTGAAAAATCTAACAGTGGAATGGAAGATTCTCTGCACAGAGAAGTCGAGAAACCAGACAACAAAACCACTTCTGTTTATATTTGATTACTCTTTCTTTTGCAATAAACACACAAACTTTCGAGTTCGTGTACTAACCAATCAGAGGAAAAAAATCCATCTAGGTCTTTTGAGAAGGAATATTACAAGGAAACTCAGAAACGCAATCAAAGAGCTTGTTCAGTTGTTGACGGTAATCAGAAAACGTGGAAAATAAATCAATTTTATGGAAGAAGCAGCGAAACTTAGCAAACTATGAACAACTAGTCGGAGATGAAATCAATTTAAGAAGAAAAGAGAAAAACTTTACGGAATCAATGACGTTAACAGCTTCCTGAGAAGCTTGGAATTCGCGTCCGCCATCGCAGGAGATGAAAAAACCTTGTACCCCTGGCTTCAAAGGGTAAGCACCCTTCTTCTTCGCTGGTCTCTGCACCAAAAATCAATCAAAATTAGCCGCCGATTTATAAAAGTAAACATTAGTGTGGGGAGGAATGGTATAAAAAGAGGAAGAAGGATTACATTCTGAGGGAGATAACGCTGCTTTCTCTTCTTGCTCTGGTCACCGGTAGCCATCGTCGGGGACGGAGAGAGAGATAGAGAAAAAGGTCTTTTTTGAGTTTCAGTCAAAGACACAGTGACAAGCAAAAACATTACTTAGGTCATGCCGATACGGGCCTGTTAGGCTTTGGTCTTGCTTGACCCATTAGCCAAAAACCTCGAATATGTTAATTTGCCCAAATGTCCTTCAATTTTGATTAGTAATTTGCAAAATAGCAAAATCGTTTTTCTCAATAAACTCACTCATTCAAACGATGTGTAATTGTATTTTGTTACACACAGACTGTTATTCTACGGTTGAGAAAGAAAGAAAAAAATTGACTAAAAATTCGATGATTTTAGATACTACTACAAAGCATTTAAAGTTTCCATCACATAACACTTTAGACCAACCAACAACGAAATATAAATATTTCATCCACACTTTATGCGGATTTAATTGGTCACGATCCTTATAGTAACCCTCTTTCCGAAAGAGCAGCTTTCATGGCTTTCAAGGACTCTTCCATTTCATCACATATCTTGTGAGGATCTGGTATGACAGTAGGATCAACCGCTAACGAGATTATCATCTTCCCCGCGTAACTTAGGAAATGTACCAACAATGCCTATCAATCACAGAAACACATAGTGTGGGAAGAAAATTTCAGAAAATAAAAAGATTATCATGCAAACGAATTTTTAAAAACGCTATACATACTTGTGAATGTCCGTAGCCGCTTGGAGCAATGTAAGCGATAGGATGGCCACGAAAACTGATTTCTTCCGTGGGGCCAATGACGTTTGAAATGCATGTCGTTGTGTTCATCACGGTTCGATTGAAGAATGTCGCTACGATCTGTAGTCACAAGTGTTAATGTGTTGCAAACAAAAATGTCTAGTTATGTATCATTGATCACTTTATTTACCTTAGATCCTACGACTTTTTGGCCGATTTGTATCAACAAATACGCTAGAGCGGCGTGATAAGAGTGCTTCTTTCGATCCATCGTTGATTTTGATATTTTAAGATAAACCAATGGATCGGTTTGTAAACCGATGGAGAAGGGCAAAATGATAAAACTAAAGTAGTTTCCCCATCTGCATTTTGAATTCTTCGCCATCATATCTGCCAAAGGCTTCATCCAAGACAAAAATAAAATTATATTTACATATTGTTTGGTTAAAATAAAGCGTTTTACATTTAGAATTTGAGGTGTACGTCTCTAACCTTGAACCCGATTTCTGACCTTAGATTCACAGTACAACCTGCACGAAATCGTATTCCACCTGGAAGATTATTCGGATACGATGTCACTCTTCCACCATTCTTCTTGTTTAGTTTGTCTAGAAACATGATATACGTATCATGAATTTTTTTGCTTAGATCAGCTCTTATTATTACATCACATATATTGAATTTAATATTTACCATATTGTTGGTTCAAATAGCTAGAAAGAGAGGCTTGTGTAATTCCGACCAGAACATCGTTGATAGTCTAGCAACACGCAAAAGAGGAAAATAAAGATCCATCGAATTAAAAGAGAATAATAAAAGAAAAAGGCTCAAATTAATTAGTTATAAACACAAAACGTAACGTACCATATCCATAGCGTTCTTTATAAGTTTAATGTCATCCAAAGAGAATATTGTATGATAAAATCTCTTTGGATTACTCCCAACATCCGCACCGCCTTTTATAGGTGTTTTTGTATCCTTCAAAAACAACATAGTGGCGAAAAGCAGCAAAACATCTACGATTGTATACCAAACCAGTCTCACTGTAGAACCGATGGTGAATAATATCGACCTTAGGAAGCTGTCTTTGTTTTTGTCTCTTTTACGCCGTTTCAAGGAACGAATAGTGGTTGAAACCGTGCTGGGATCTGATGTCTTGTTGGTACATGCGAGCAAGAGGGAAACCATAGATGTTGCATCTCCCAACGTATGATGAGTTCTGACTACAGCGACTGCTTCAGCATCTGAGGTTTTGACGTTAAGGATGTGAATGTCCCACAAGGGTCTTGACCTATCAAGAGGACGCATCGTGAGACGTGAGATATAGTCATCGACGAAGCCTTGTCCATCTTCACCTATCTCTTCTTGGTCTATGTATGGTACAACTACGTGGTCTTCTATATTGACTTGAGCTTCGATCCATTTTGCACCACTATTAGACTGTGAAATTAAAGACAAATGGAGAGACCAGACACTATGAAGATCAATATATATTCGAATGCACCAGTTACACGTGATGAGTAAGAGAATATTGTGAGAGCATGTATAAGTGATTAAGTGGGTACCAGTTTGGTGGAGAAACGAGGGTGCTTGGAGACGTTATGCCTCAAGGCATCAAGAACGACGTCGGATTTAATCTTGGTTTTGAACCCTATCATGGTCACGGCGCAGTAGTCTATGCCTCGCGACTGGAATACACGCGCCATCGGGCTGAGCGGCTCCTTTTCCTCCTCCGTCGTCAATGTCATTCTCTCTTACCTCACTGATGTCTATGTCTTTGCTCATGTTCCAGTGTTATTTATAAGGGAATGTAAATTTATAACAACAAAGTGTTGCAAGTGGTCGAGGAAAAAATAATACGTGGTATACCTTTTCTCACAATATTATGATTACCTTTATTTTTCTTACTGCTTGCTAGTATTATGATTGCTTTGATTGACGATCAGCCTCGTCCAATGATATAAATGCACGGTTTCATTTATTTCTGTTTGTATTCAATGTCTTTGAGCATTGCTATGGTATTTTTTTATTTTGTTTTTCCTCAGAAATACTTCAAAAAAAGCTTCTAGTAATAACATATTGATGGTATAATACTATCTTTTGTTATGTTTTCGTCAGGATCCATAGTGCTTCATAATAAATATCTCACAATCTTAATGTTGGTTTTATATGTTCAAATGATCTTGGATCTGTAGAATCTTTTCTTCTCTCATAGCTACCCGAAAAACAAGTTCTTAATGTACATGTAACCACGAGGAGTCATGAGCATTCCTTTCGCTCGCTGAATTTTGCTCAAACATGAAGATATATAGACTTTAAAATTAAAAAGGAAAAGTGATGATCAAACAATGATATTCCATATAGTATCATTTATCTAATCATTGTTTAACGACATAATTCAACTCAATAAATACTATCTAAACCCATGCCATTGGACTCCAATCCTAAATAGAATTTGCCTAGAGCACTTTTCCAATTGAACTAAACACACTTGGCTTTATGATCTTATTAAATGGGTGATATGGAGTGTAGTCGCCAAAAGTCACGCAAAAAAATGTGCCGGCACATTTAATGATATCCATATCTTCATTTATTGAGTACATTGGATTGCTAAATTCACCATCCATATTGTTGAAGATATTGTGCTGTATTATTATTTCATTTGGGGGCCCTATCACTAACCAGTAACCACCACACCTAGGATCTTTTTTTTTATTCGACCCACCTACAAATATTGATTGTATAAAAAAATACAAACACAAAAAATAGCCTAAATTATGCAACAGCAAAAATATTAAAATATGGCTTTTGTATGTATCGTATGTAGACACTAAACTTTAAAAATCTTTGACATTTTGGAAGCACATTTGTTTGTTCAACAACTATAATCTGCCGGCCTTGACATTTTTACAACAAAAAAGCATTTAAAGCTTTTAACACATAGTAACATTTAGACAAACAAGCGAATATAGACAAACACGTCTCCGGATTATATATAATGGATACTACTAGTTCATGCCTCACGACCCTTATAGTAACCCTCTTTCCGAAAGAGCAGCTTTCATCGCTTTCAATGACTTTTCCATTTCATCACATATCTTGTGAGGATCTGGTATGACAGTAGGATCAACCGCCAACGAGATTGTCATCTTCCCCGCATAACTTATGTAATGTACCAACAATGCCTAATATCAAACACAAAAAAGATATGCGTTATAGAAAAAATACAAACACAAAAAATAGTGTATGAATATTTAATTATGCAACAGCAAATATATTGCTACGTACTTGTGGGTGTCCGTAAGAGCTTGGAGCGATGTAAGCGACAGGATGGCCACGGAAACTGATTTCTTCCATGGGACCGATGACGTTTGAAACGCATGTCGTTGTGTTCATTACGGGTCGGTTAAATATTCTTGCTGCTACCTATATTATAGTGACACGCTTGCGTTTTATATTGTTCACAAAATTGCAAACAAAATCTCTAATTTAAGTCCATTGATCATCACTTTTATGTACCTTAGCTCCCAACACTTTTAGGACGATTTTGATAATTAAATACACTAGAGCAGCGTGGTAAGAGTTCTTCTTTCGAGCCATCGTGGATTTTGATATTTTAAGATAAACCAATGGATCGTTTTGTAAACCGATGGAGAAGGGCAAAATGATAAAACTAAAGTAGTTTCCCCATCTGCATTTTGAATTCTTCACCATCATATCTGCCAAAGGCTTTTTATTTACAAATATATTTCTTGTCAGTGACGGCACTAAAAGATCTTAATTATAGCTAGATTTGATGAAAAATCATGTATATATCTCTAACCTTGAACCCGATGTCCGACCTCAAATTAACTGTACAACCTGAACGGAATCGTAGTCGACGTGGCAGATGGTTCTTATATGATGCCAATGCTCCATCCTCCTCCTCAATCTTTTTGCCTTGTTTTTCAAGAAACAAGATATACACGTGTGAAACTTTAGATACATATCCAACACGAAAATTCTAATTATTGCATTAAAATTAACTTTAGGGTTAGGAATATTATTAACCGTGGTAATTTAAATGTTAGAAGAACTCTTAAGCTTTAACTGGTGACCATAAAAGTAACAATAAAAATGAATAGGAAAAAGAATGAAAGGAACAAAATAATAGAAATTATTGTTCCTTCTCATTTTTTATAAGGAATATATTAGTAGGGGTTATTGGTTCTTGTATTTTGGTGGATTTATAAATCTTCTTTGGATTTGATAAATTTATTGATTTCAAAATCAGTAAAATGGAAAAAAATCAAATCCACTCAAATACCAAGGTTAGACCTTGTATTTGGGTCTTTGTATTTTAGTCATGAAAATCCTTCAAAATCCATTCAAATTCAATTAAAACTCAAATTCTTATAATATTTAGATTTTAAAATGATAAAACTAATAACACTGTATTTAATTATGGATTTTAAAATCATAGAATCAATAACACTGTATTTCAATATAAATTTTAAAATACAAGAACCAATAACACTGAATTTTATTTGGATTTTCAAATCCATTAAAATACAAGAACCAATAACACCTCCTTAATATTATAGTTTTCTAAAACATAAGGAATGAGAAGGAATTATGGGTACAATATATTCTTCTTAAATGGTGTAATTTTTAAGGAATGATAAGGAATTTAATATTCCTTTTCATTCCTTATGATCATCAGTTACAGCCAATGTAATACAATATGAATTTAATGATTACCATAGAGTTGGTTCAAGTAGCTAGAAAGAGAAGCTTGTGTAATTCCGAGCAGAACATCGTTGACAGTCTAGTAACATCATGCAAAACAAAAAATCATCCATTGAAAGAAGAAGATAAACCCTCAAATTAGTTATGAAACAAATGCAAAGAGTGCACGTACCATGTTCATAGCGTTCTTTATAAGTTTAATGTCATCCAAATTGATAGTTCGGTGATAAAATCTCTTTGGATTAGTCCCGACATCCGCGTCGCCTTTTAGAGGCGTCTTTGTATCCTTCAAAAACAACAGAGTCGCCAAAAGAAGCAGCATATCTACGATTGTATTCCAAATCAGCCTCGTTGCAGAACCGATGGTGAATATCGACCTTAAGAACCAGCTTTTGTTTTTAAGGCCATGCGGCGCCGTTTTACGCCGTTTCAAGGAAGGAATAGCATTAGAAAACGTGTCAGGGTCTGATGTTTTATGGGTACATGCGAGCATGAGGGAAATCAAGGACATTCCATCTCCCAGTGAATGGTGAGATCTTATTACACCGACTGCTTCAGCATCTGAGGTTTTGACGTTAAGGATGTGCATGTCCCACAAAGGTCTTGATCTATCAAGAGGAATCGTTGTAAGACGTGAGATGTAGTCATCGACGAAGCCTTGTCCATCTTCACCAATCTCTTCTTGGTTTATGTATGGTACAACTACATGGTCTTCTACATTGACTTGAGCCTCTATCCATTTTGCACCATTTTCAGACTGTGAAGTTAAGACAAACGGAGACCAAACACAATCAAATCCCAACTACAAATTTAGCGTGGGACAATTTGTATAAAAAAATTATTCTGTAAGAATATAAATTCGAGTTCGGATCGCAATCCATAATATATATGTATAAGTGCCAGTGGGTACCAGTTTGGCGGAGAAACGAGGATGCTTGGAGACATTATGCCTCAAGGCATCGAGAACAACGTCGGGTCTAATCTTGGTTTTGAACCCCATGATGGTGACGGCGCAGTAGTCTATCTCCGGCGATTGGAATACACGCGCCATCGGGCTGAGCGGCTCCTCCTCCTCCTCCTCCTTCGCCATTCTCCCTTTCATCTTCGATATATGTTTTTCTTCTCTCATGGTCCAGTGTTATTTATAAAGTAGATTTATAAGTGATCTTTAACATGAAAAACAAATAAAAATTACAAGTGGTCGGAGGAAAAATTATAGAAATATATTTTCTCACAATATAGTTGCATTTAATGTGACTTTGATTGACGATCAAGTTGTTCACACCCTATTGGTTTGTGTTCTGTTTTTCTTCGTGTTTTCGTGTTTTGTCCTCAATTTCATTTTCATACCCTATTACATACGTAGGTCATCTGTTTTGCTGGGGCATCTTTTGGTGTATTCCTCTTGTTTTGTTGTAATGGAGTTTAGGTTGTTGGGTTAGTTCACTCAACTTGCGGATAACGTTTAAAATCATTTATGTTGAAAGTTTTAAAATAAATTAATAGTAATGTTCACATTTTCACATCTCTCATTTCTGAAGTCCGACTTCGAATTTGATTATTTTTTTCAAAAACTAATTATGATATCTTTTATTCGTTGGAGTTTGGTTTGACATTATATATGGATTTTTTCATTCGTTTCCTTTTGTATTTAGTGACTTGGATTATTGCTTTTTTCTTTCGTCAAATGTTGGTTCAGAAAAGCTTTTAGTAATATAAGTATAATAATATGTCGTGAATTTGATCTTTTTTGTCAAAATAATAGATTAGATGATGCATCAGAATAATATGTCACAATCTTAGTGTTGACTTTGCATTTAAAGTATTATGGATTCACCCTTTTAAGTTATTTCAATTTTCAAAGCTACCTAAAATCAACTTTTTAATACAAATAACCACGGCGAATCGTGAACACGTTTTGCCTGTGTCTTAGTATGTAGTTTTAGCTCTTTTTTGCTGTAAAAAAAAGTGTCTTTTGTGCTGCGCCATATTTGCATTTATTGAATACAACGAATTGCTATCGTATGGTCTTAAATTAGATAGACATCCAAAGTCAAAACGGTTGGAGAAAGGCATGCAGTAGTATTTCATTTGGTGGCCCTATCAAAAACCACACCTAGATTTGGCATGACTTTATTTTTATTTTTGTCCATTCACCTACAATGGGAAAGTAAAGTTCCTATCGAATTAGTTGAGGAAAAGGACAACGATTACGATATTTTGATTCTATTGCCTGTGAACGACACTCTATTTATTGGTCTTTTCGTTTTCATTGAGTAATCTTTATATCATAGAGTTTGAATTCGTAGTTTGCATATACATGTAAATATGTAATCTCCAAACTTAGACAGCCAAACATAATATATTTGTCTGAATTTGTTTTTTTTTTTGTTGCAAAAATCAATGAATTGAAAGAATCTATAATCAAAATAGTTAAACAACAAACGAGAGAGACCATTGTCTTTTCTTCACGACATCCTTAACACCCCAAAATAAACAAGAATAAACAAAAATGAAATCTGTTATATGCAAGCCTCCTTCAATCACCAACGCTACGTTCCTGTGATCTGTACATTCTTCAAACGTTTTGGACACTGAGAGCAATGGAGAAGTCTCTAACCTCACGAACCAAACGATTATACAATACATATCTCTTGTTTTTCTCCATTACCTGAGTAAATTTTCTGCATCTCAAGTCTTTCCATGCCTATCGTGTGGTGTGTGTGTGTATATTCTCCATGAATCTGGGCATCTGATGATTTTATCCACGCCTGAGTATTTGCAAAGGAGAGGCCTCAAAAACTATTTGCTGTTGAGGAATTTGGTAAGAGGGATCTTGGAGATGCTTTACAGTTTACAAGGGGTATCTGTTCGATCGGTTTTGTTCAAACCACCTCGGAGCTGATGGGTCTCTACGTGAACTCCATCCTTCCCTCCAGTTTCTTCTACTTCTATTGAAAGGATAATTAACATCTGGCTCTGCTCCAGATGTGCTGCCTCCATCACGTCTCCTTTGTGCATTATGCATCTCTTCTTCAAGATCATACTGAGAACGCTGCGAAAAAGCACAAGAACATAAAAACACTAGATATAATTTACGAATCTCTCGGGGGTACACAAATCCTGAAGAAGAGTACACAATTGTCATATTCATTCAAAAACTTATATCACATTTCTTAATTCCAAGAAGAGAAAAATGAAAACAGAACCTTGAGAATGCGTTATCGGTTGAGATGTTTTACCTTTGCAGGGTCTGAAAGCACAGCATACGCTTCCCCTATTATTTTAAATAATTTATCGGTATCTCTGCGTACTTCTTCTCCTATCTCCTTCCATAGCCTCTCATCTTTAGTCTCGTTTCTTGTCAAAGACTGACCAGCCTTCAACAAGTTTAAAAATTGTTATTATAGTCTGGAGCTCTTTGCTTTCTGCGTTCGAATCAGTTTCAGCTGAATCCAAAAGCATGCAAAAGTAAACAGTTTCAGCATACCTTGTCGGGATGATGTTTGAGTGCGGCCTTTCTATACGCCTTTCTGATATCTGAAGCCGAGCAAGATGGCACTACACCCCTGCCACAAAGTAGGTTCCATTCTAGTTAGCAAACCTTTGACACACAGATAAACTCAGTACCACCGAAAAATATGAGAATTTGCCTTGCTGGTTGGGAAAACATGAAATGTTTCAACTCATAATAGAACTAGAGAACGGAACGTAGGCATTGGTGGAATAAAATTAAATTAGCAGGATAGTCTACTTACAAGACGAGGTACATATCCAAAGAAGTTTCTTTCCTTGATTTCTCTTCCAGTTCAGAAAGCCGCATACGAGCTTGTCTTATGTCATTGGACAAATTGCTGAATCTGTCGTGAATTCCAGAGGTCTTCTCTTCCATTTGCTTGGTTAGAATATTAACATATCTATGCATATCACTGGCAGCCTGTCCATAATCTCTAATCATCTCGAACAACGTGGCCCGTCTAGAAATAGCCTGAGAAATCAAGTAAAAAAACTTAGCAAATTCAGTGACACAATGGAATACTTTATCAACCAGCAGCCTTAATTCATAAGAGACTCGCTGCCAAATCTTTCAAGCATAAAACCATACACACATGGAAGCAGCGGAAAATATTTCTAGCTTATGTATTTGAAACGGTTCGAACAAAACACTCATACTCAGCTGGACAGGAAACCAATTTACTAATACGAGAAGTATTATCCAACATTCAAATCAAGTGTTCTACTATTCGTTGAGACATTCCAGTTCCATGTTGTGGAAAGCAGAAACGGAAATAAAAAAGAACAAATCATGGTATTTGCCAAGGAAGAAACCTTTGAGTAATTTTGGTCAAGAGCAATAGCAAGACTGCAGTCTGCAATAGCGTCAGAAAATTGACCAAGAGCCTTATATGCCGCAGCACGATTACAGAAACACACAGCTGTAAAAGAACGTGATTCCACATTGCAAGACAATGCTGCTGTGTAATGTTCAACTGCTTCAGTGTGTCGTCCAGACTGAAAGGCTTCATTCCCTGCCGACTGTGATTTGGTAGGAATATCAAAACGGTACAAAAAGTGAGTAAATATCAGAATTAAAACTTATGCCTTTACAGATACAATTAATTCACAGGTCAACTGCTCAGGTGCTTAGTTGGACTATGAAAATAGAGTGCAGGTTCAGAGCTATAGCTGTGGCAGAGGCAGAAATACCTTAAGACGCAACAGCTCACGTATGGTAGCAGCCAATGGGATGAAGGATTCAAGAGCTTTGTTTCCATCTCTGTATCGGAGTGACACAGCCAAGAGAGACCTGTTAGATTTCACCTCATCTGACAAAAATAAACGTAAAAGGAGTAAATCTGAATCACCTTTTTGCAGCAGATAGTAATTGTTCTTGCTTCTCTAGAGAAGCAATCGCCTCCTCAAGCTTTCCCATATGGAAATATGATTTAAGCATGAGACGACACCGCCAAATTCTAAAGTTTATATCCTTGGGAGTGTCACGAGAATCTGGGTTAGCTAAAAGTGTATTAGCGTCTACGGGAAGAGAATTCTTTCCAGCCAAATCAACAGTCTGCTCACAAAGCTTTATTGATGCTTCGTATTTCTCAAGCTGTAACCAAAGAAAACAAAAGCAGGTTTTTAATCTGTTCCTCTATGAAGTTTTTGATTTCCTACTCACAGTTATCTGAAGGTTTAAAATGAACACTTTCAAGTGATATTTTGAAAATGACTGAAACATACCATTAAAAGCGCCTCTCCTTTCATGGTGAGTAAGTTTTCAGAGTATGGACTTATCAATAAAGATTCTTCCAATACTTCCAAAACTTTCTCAACATCAGTTGATGTTCTAAGTTGCAAACGAGAGCCAGCTTCATGCATGCATTCCGAAACTCTCTGCAAGACAAAAACAATATTGATTGGTCAATTACAACACCATAGCATTAAGTAATTTTATTGCCACGCATCTCAATGACAATCAGCATCCATACAGTTAGTATAGTTCAGTATAGTCCAGTCCAGATCCTAAATCAACTAATACAAATTATAAGATCCAATTCACAGAATAAGGCCTTAAGAACAATAACTGTATGACATGTGTCCTGCTATGATATGCTATGATCCATAAACTAGAAAAGTTTACAAAGAACACTGCGTCCCTTTAAAAGAAGAGAGCTCTACCTGTGCCTTTTGTAGACCTTCAGAAGCCTCTACGATAATTTTGCGGTCCACACAGATGTCACTTCCAGATTGCAAGCATTTTTTAAAACACCTGGATGCATCTTCAATCTCCCCAAGTGCAAGATAACAACTACCAAAGAAAAATCCAAAATCAGCCAATAAGACATCATAAAATTATAAGATATTGTTTCTAATTGCTAACTGAGGACGAGCATGGACTAGCAAGGTAACACAGACAGATCGAGCTTTAAGCATAAAAGAGAAACGATCACATCATTCCTTTCCCCAGTTCAAGCTCTCGATTCAAAAACAAAAAGTTACCAATAACTTTTTTATCTCGGCTCAGTAGAAAGTATAAGAAGTTTGAAGAAAGGTCGGATATTTACTTTCCAGCTCTGACTTGAACTTTAAGGAAGTTGGAGTCTATTGAAGAAGCCATCATACAATCTGCTATTGCTTCTCTCATTCTTCCAAGGGCCATGCGTGTTGCAGCACGGTTGCTGTAGCAAAGCATCAGTGCCCTAAGACAATTTCTAGAAGTCTCGATTTTAGGCACTGAATCTATCCCCTGTGTGTAAGATTCCTCAGCTCTGGAAAGATCTCCAGTTTTGTATGCATTGTTTCCTCTGGAGAAAAGGCATTCAAAAAAGGTCAACAAAATATAAAGGCAGAAGCCAAGCAAGCGACAATAACAACTAGAGTATCAGAACAGCACATGAACAATGAGTAAAAATAAAATAGGCATTGAAACGGCTGACATGTAAACAACCTTAATCGCCACTTTTCACATGCTTCTTGCGCTGCATTAGACACATCTTTTTCGTCTCGTGCATTGTCCATCACAGAATTATTAATAGGCTTGTGTAGACGAGTAAACGGATCCCTTTCACTGGGTTTCCGACTAGACAAGTGTGACTGAACACCAGTTAACGGCGAATGTTGAGAAGATTTTAATGATGAAGCATTTGGAATTAAAATATATGGATCCTGCCCAAGTTTCACTGGATTTTTCTTCCTGTTGATACGCTTTGGAATTGGTGGTTGCCCGTGCACTCCAGAAAACGATGAAGCAGAAAAGGTAAAGCTGGAGCTAGCAGCCTTCGAATTAAAAAGGGAATGGTCGTCATTTTCTTGCCTATCAGGCTTAAAGCTTGAAGTAACCTCACTTTCTGAAGCTGTGACGAAAGTCTCACTACTAGTCTCCATCTCTTCTGCTGCTGATTTGAAACTTTCCGTTTCAGCCCCGGATATAGAATCTTCAGCAAGGTCTTCACCATCAGCACATTCACCAGTATTAAGCTCCTTAGCTTGATAGTTATTAACTTCATCCTCCTCGTTTATTTCCATCCGTTCAGTTGCAGCAACAAGCTCTGCATCAAACACATCATTTGGAGCAGCAGCCGGTATATCAGATGAGAGATGGCCTTGGTCAGGATTCGTAAACTGATCTGATACAGCAGGAGAGTCTCTACAATGTGCTGTCTCCTCATATGGAGATACATCCATCGGTGAATAAGACTCGGGAGCCTCATTGCTTCCATGTGGAAACGCACTTTCTGCAAAAGCAAATTCCTGTCCAATATTTAGCTGCACTTTCACAGGCTGCTTACCCACTTTCTTTCTCCCTCTGGTGGCACCAACATTGTCCTTCTTTGCATTGAACCCCAATCTCTGGTCCAAGCTAGAAAATGGGTTTACTTTTGAATTGGGGGTCTTGAACTCCATAAAATTCGTCCCCGCACTGTCTTGATTGCTGCTCATAAAATTAAACTCTGCAGTATTTACTGTAGAGGGCACATCATGAACGTTTCTAGGATTCGGATGCGCACTTGCCTCTGTACCTACAAAGGTATAATTCATCGGACTAGAACTGTTTAGATCATGAACTTTCTTCTCATTCACACTTCCCTGAAGTGATTCTGCGGATGGGTTCTCAGCTGATGCATGCCCTGTGTTGATCCCCTCAGTAGCTATACTTCCAACGCTTAACTTTCTACACATTTCATCAGATAGTATCTTCTCCCCAACATAACCCAGGGACTCGGGTTTTCCTTTGGACTTGACATTATTATTTTGTTGATCAGTCACCTTCTCCGATATGTTCATCTTCTCCATACTTTCCTGGATCACATGTCCTGTACTCCACGAAGAAGAACTATCTTTGCTGGGATCAATTGTCAGTTTATTACTCAACAGAGATGGAAGTTCATCTTCCACGTTTCTCCTCGCATTGTCACCGAAACTGAAGCTGGAGTGAGAATCCTTGATATTCAAATTCTGCATATCTCCAGGAAGGCTCGAAGCTAAATTCCCACTCTTCTTGTAACCATCTTCACCCTCAATCTTCAGCTTCCCTAATTCCTCCATAATCCTTTTCCCAGCTTCGTCACCAGAGATCAACCCTCCTCCACCCATTGATCCAAATACAAAAGCCTCATTACTGCTCAGGCCAATTCCGGTCTGACCCGGAAGTGGATCACCGGTGGATATCGGGAAAGAGCCGCGGTAATGAAACGGGTTGAAACTCTGACCCGGTAAGGAATCGGAAGTCAGCGAGGGTTTCATCAAGCTCTGAGGCTTGACTTGCCGTCTGACCTTAGAGAGTCTCGGCTTGGAGAGCCCAGAAGAAGGGCGAGAAAACGGCGCTGAATTGAAACTCGGGTCAGGGTTATTTCCGGTTCGACCCGCACCAGAGAAGGCGTGATTCAAGTCGCCGAAGTTGCTCATTGTTTGTATTAGATTCTCTCTGGATTCGAATTGAGGAAGGCGAAGGAGAAGTAAGGGAGAAAAAGAGAGAGGTCAGGTGTGTACCAAAATCGCCGGCGACATGGAAATGGAAAGTCTTGTAATCGAAAATGGAAAGCGAATATTGAAGTTAGATAGATGATGGCAAAAGGATGGGATATGGAAATGTTGAATCTTTCAGGAAATCGATCAGAACTCAGAAGAGAAGAATGAAGAAGAGATTTTTGAAGAGGAAAATAAAAAATCAAGGAAATTTTCAAATTAATTTCTGATTGAAGAAAAAAATTGGGTCATCATCAATCATCATCCATGGTTGTTACGGATCACAAGAAAGAACGAAGAGAGAAAAAATGATTTTTTTAAAAATGATTGCTTTGATGTCGCCGTCCCTAATTACATTTTTCTTCACCTTCCAAAGAGTTTCCTTCAAGACCTAAACCATTCATTCGATTACCAAAAACAAAACCACATGGTTTTCAATCTATCTAACCCATCTTTTTCTAATAATTCAACAACCAAAGACAAAGAACCATTTTGTATTACTTTACACATGATCTGGTGTTGGACACGGGACCTCTGTTTGTTTTCCTACATTTTAGGTTTTAACAGTCTAGTTGCAATGTTCTTATGTATGGTTCGTGCGTCCACTGTCCAAAATTCTTTTCATTTATCATCTGTAGATTTGAGACCTGTATGATGATGTGTAAATATACGAAATGAGATGTCCACTAAAAACCGTAGTGCATTAACTGTATTCTGTCTCCATTTGCTGCATGACAATTACATTAGTATGTTGGAAACATGAATCCCAGGTGAATGAGGTTCTCTAAAGCTAAGAGTTGCAATTTAGATTAGCAGGAGGACCTGTAATAATACTTACGAGTAGTAACAAAAAAAAGGGAATAATAATATATATAAAGTTACAGAAATTTCTGTTCTTCTTGGTACATCAGAGACTCTTGTGGTTTATTTCCCAAACAAACCGGAACAACCACATGAGCAAACCGAATACTAGAAGCAAAAAGACGGATAACGAAAAAGCAGAAAAGAAAGTTACGATATAGATTTGTCTTTTTTTTAAAGTATGTCTTACGCATCCGCTTGTTAGTAGTATAGAGTATCACCTGAGGAAACTTGCGATCTTCATACGATATTACCATCCCTCCTACGTTCTTTCTGTTCTCCATATATATAATATATATAAATATAACTTAGCTATTCATATACATCATCCTACTTCCTTGTGTATGCTTTTTTACTGTCTGCACGAATCAAAAACCAAGAAAAGATTATGAACATCAATGTTAAACACCAAGAAGAACTTCTTCCCGACTTCTACAACATACCTATGGCAAAAGAATGCTTTACCTTTATTACATACACTTCGGTAGCCTCATCTTTATCCATAAGAGAAAAAAAAACCTGTGTCCACAATAAAAGGGTTTGTTATGCAATATATAACTTGAAAAAAACATTGGAGAATAGATTAGAGAATACACTAACCCTTGGCATTTATGAGGTCAAATAGCCTATTGCATCAGGTTACTGGTAGTAGCTGGTGGTTCATGCTCATCTTCGTTAGTAGAGGAGACTGCAGCTTTCGCATTACTTTCAGCAGAATCATCAATTTTCTGGTCATTGGTACATGTTGCAGAAGGGAAGAGGTTACTAGGAAGCACAAGCTCTATAGTGCTTCCAGTGTCGGGTTCAAGCGTTTCACTCTCGTTGGTCCCTTCTTTTGCACCGTTTGAGTCATTACTTTTAATAGTCCTTGAGTTGATTGATGGGTAAGGATGCAGCTCCGAGGTATCATCAACTACTGCCACAGCACGAAGCAACAACATTAATGAGACTGGTTGAGCAGCAAAGATATATTAACCTATTTACATTCAAGAATAGCAACTGTTCACTTCACAAACCTTCTAAAGCCTCTGCACCAATGAGTTCAGATTGAAATTCAGGACTTTGGTTGCTGGCAGATGAAAAATAACCAGGAGACCCCACAGAGAAGCTACGATGATGATTGGGCACGACGCCGCCATTCTTGAACTCAGGAAGCTGCAAATTAATGAAGCGTCTTCTTTCAATTTCAATAGCCCTCTGCAGATCAGCCTGCTCCATTTTCCTTCTCATCATCTCCCGCCTCTCATAGAACATCATCTTCGAACCTACCACATAGAAACAACACAAGTTAAGCTCACGTAAAATGCAGAAAGTAACACCTAACAGAGCCTAAACTGGCCTTTGAAAGTAAGTAAACAAGGACACTAACCAAGGTGGAAATCAGACTGTTCTCTAGGATCAATCCCAGATGGACTGGTACATGGGGAGTAATTCCCACGCTCAATCTGCTGTTGTATCAGATGCTGCTGCTTCCTGTAATCATTTCATGTACAATGACACACTGAAGCCTTACGAAGAAAGACTAGAAGGAATTTTCGTGGGAAGAAAGAAAGGCACATACTTGTCCAAGATTTTGCCTTTTTCTTTGTAAGGTTTGACAAGAACACGTGAGTCGCAAATGAAGTGGGGGTTCCCTCTAGCTAGTACAACCTTCACCGTCTCAGGATGGGCAAAGGAAACAAAGCCAAACATACGCTTCTGCTGGTATGGAATCCGCACATCTTGCACTGTTCCGAAAAGGCTTCATAGACAAAACAAATCAATAATGTTTTTTTCTTCTCAAAAGACCGCATTCGTGAATATTTGCCAGACGTCAATTAACCAAATAATTGATTTTTCAATACTACTTAGTAGCTGATTCTTCCATACAAATCTACAAAAAACATTATCTTTATACCTGAAATAGGTTGCAACGTCCTCATCCTTAAACGTGCTGTCAGCTGGGAATGTCAAGTAAATCTGTCTAGATGCCGAGCCTGACTGATCACCAAAATGCATTGCCATTAGCTCCATCCTCTCAAGCCGTCCTGGGCTACTGCTCCAATATCTTTCATCACCAAAAGACAATGCACCATCTCTGCATCGAGGAGAAAGCACAAAGCTTAATAATTGAAGACACTAACAAGATAACAGCCAATTTTTTAAACTCATTCGAGAACAAAGTTATATCCACGCAACTAAAGCTAGAAACTTGTTGATAAAACAAACAAAAGGAAGAGAGAGCAAAGCGAATGGGTTGATAAAATGTGTGGTTCGATTCTTTCAAGCGCAATATCAGGACCAGTTCCGACTATAAGTAAGACAAACTATATGGGATAGTCTCCAGTTTTTACCTGTGAGCATGCTGCTGCAAGAGAAGATCCATTCTCTTCTCGTATGGCAGCTGCTGGGGAGCCCTGGCCAGGATTTGAGAAGCCAGCCTCTGCTGCTGATAAACCATTTTCAGCCTCATAATCTCCTCCTGCTGCCTCACAAAGTTCTCCATTTTCCTTGGCGAATCAGCGACAATGCCATTACCGTCAACGTTATCCGGAAATCCTCCGTGGACAAACTTGCAGCTTTCTCCGTTCTTGCACAGCCCTCGACTAAAATACACACAGGGCTTGCATCCAGCACCGAATCCATCCTCTCCGGACCCAAAAGACGCATCTGCCGAGAAACTCCTCCTGTGCAGATGGGTTTCGCCATTGTCGACGGAGTAGTCCAAGGGAATCCTTGGATCCGCAACATCCTCGGCTTTCGAAGAGGAATCGTCGAGAAATGAAAGGCAATCATTTAGTTGCTGATCATCAAGTAGATCAGCGGCGTCAGCACAGGAATCTGTAGCAGAAACTCCGTTGTTTTGGTGAGAGCTCAAGGGTTTCGAGATCGATGCAGTACGAACACCGTCGAGCGAAAGGAGAGGTGTGTGTCTGGGGGAAATGTGGGCGTTGCTCCCATTACTAGGGTTCAGACTGTTGATTGACCAGGGAGAGGTGGAAGAAGGAGACGATGGGGAGTTTCTACGGAAATCCATGAACCCATTAGAGTGAGAGCCTCCTCCTCCTCTTCCGTTAATGGGTGGACGGCAAATAGGGTTCAACGGAGAAGGAGACGGCGGAGTAGGAGGCGAAGACAAGTTGTTCGAGAAAAGTCCCAACTGACTTTTCACTTTCAGAATAATGGACTGCAACACTGATTCGGGTCCAAGCGCCAGATTCATCAAGTCTTTCTCCCCGAAATCCTGTAACAGAAGATAACCGATGATCTTCGGAGCGTAATCTGGGTCCAAGGTCCTGATTTTCGTTAAAAGCAGAGTTGTCGGGTCGCCGGAATCCATGGTTTCCCTCCAAGTAACCAACTTTGGAGGTAGAATTTAGGGTTTCAAAACAGAGAAGAAGAAGAAGACGAAGAAGAAGAAGAGAAGGATTGTGGATCTTGAAGCAGAGTTGAAAAAATCTGAGCGGGGATTTAGATAAGAAGAGGGAGATCCTCCCTCCTCTTTGCTCGCTTCTGTTTTGATTATCTTTTTTTTTTGTTTTTTTTTGGATTTTGAATCTCACTTCCTCACTCACTCCTATCTTTATCGCTCCAGTTGGTGCTCTCTCCTACTGGTAAGACCACTTGGGGAAATGTTCTGCTTTTAATAATATGTATTCAACTTTCTAGGAAACTGTAATTCCTTAGTTATAAAGATGATTAAAAAAAATCAAATTGATTTGTATTATTATTATTATTACAGACTGTGTTTTGTAGAATATGGATTGTTTTTCTTTATATAAAAGATCTGTGAAAATATATATATAGGTTTGACGAGTAAAAAATGGGACTGTTTTAGATATTCAATTAGGTTGGAAATTATTTTAGTAGGTCTTCTAGATTCAATTTGCTGTCGAGAAAATCATTTTTCATCCTCACAGTCTATCTACACAGTCAAATACTATTTTTGTCCCATTCGAAAAGCCAAACATTTGTTTTACCGGTTAATTATAATATAAATGCGTATTAGGAAGTTAAGATTGCAAAAGATTTGTGGGTACTTTTTTATTCACTGTTTTCGTAAATTAATTTAAATTTAATTTTTAATACTAGGCGCTTTAGAAGGAAAATTGTGTTGCCTTTTTCCAACGATGGAAATATATTGTTTCTAATGAAAAAAAGGGGGAAAAAAATATTAAGAATAGAAAAAGATTTTGAAAATTATGATAAAATCTACAGGTACTGTTAAATCAGTGTCAGAGGGGATAGAGAGAGCGCGCGTGTGGATGCCCAACTTTTCAGACTGCCATTTTCCTTTCCACAAGCAGTGTATTTCACGCGCGCGCGTGAGGTCAATCTCTCTTTTAAGGAATCACGAGCAGAGCGGATTATTTTCACTATTACGTTTTATTTTTGAAAGGGTAATGCATTATTAATTTAATAAATTGATAAAAGTGTTTGTAGAATGTGAAATAATTGGACGGTCGTGATTAGCGGAACAAGAAAATGATTAGGGTTGCGTTTTGTCACCCAAGTTTTCATGTGGTCTCTCTCTCTCTGCTTTAGGTTCTTCGCGCGGGGACCTTTTAGGATGGTTTTGTTGAATGTATTAAAATTTGCCAATAACAATTACAAAAAACATTTTGTGTCGGAGAATTTTCAACCTCATGTGTCTTTAAAGTATTGTTTGGGATACAGCAGAAAAATATGTTTTCGATCGGAATGAAATCGATTTCTTAGAAATCATTCATCACCATATATAGTATTTGAACCTCAAAGGTAACAGTAGATAAATACTGTATACTGAGCATATTATATAAATGTATAATCTATATAAAATATAAGCTAGACATACGCACTCACATGGATCCAGGAAGGACATATGCACTAGCATACGACGATTTCATGGATTAATGTCAAAACCACTCACCAATAAAAAATGAAGCCACAAAATATGAGACAAAAGAGTCCTTCAAAAGTTCATCCTTTATGCACATGACCATGAACCAACTTTTTTACTTTTTATATTTACCATTTTCTAACGATTTATTTATTATTCCCAAAAGTATATCATATGATATCTCTTTTTATTCTCGAAATGAAATTTGTAGTGAAGTAAGAAATTACTATCCTTCAACAACGCAGTTTTTTTTTTTTTTTTTACTTACGGTGAGATTTTGTTTCTCTCTTTATGTAGCCTCCGAACATCAAACATTGCTGGTTCATAATAAATGAGAGGTGTACAATAATCATTCCTTATGTTTATAAATATTGGATATTTTAAAGCATATGATAGCAGTTTTTAACCAAAACAGATTCAAGCTTTATTGAGATATATAATAGCTCATATGAGATTTGTTTTGTGAACTGTGTATGTTCACCAAGCTAATAATGGATTCTTTGATCAATATAAAATAAGGAAAGAAGCTTGTACAATCGGCAATCTAAGTTGTTTTACATCAATGCATAACATAATAACATATTTACTATATGAATTTAAAACTTGATTAAAAAAACCTTAACGACATGGGCTTGTTACATAGATCTCATGGGCTTGAATTAACTAATAATTTGTGTCTCTTATAACACAAACGAAAAAAAGGAATAAAGTTCACTGGTTATTAAGTGAAAACAACTTGTTTAGTAAATGATTATACACATAAGAATCACATACCACACAGGTCATAGTTGATTATGTATAATTTGGCAGTTGGCACAGTTACATTTACATTTAATGTATAAATTGGTTGCTATGATAAATTATTGTATTTTAATAGTTGGTTCTCCTAATTTTCCTTTTCAAATCAAAATTGTTTTATTAGGCTTTAACTGGTGACCACTAAATTAATAATATGAATGAATAAGAAAAGAAATTAGAGAAACAAAATAATAGAAACTATTGTTCCTTCTCAATTTTGATTGAAAAAAAAATAACATTATAATTCCTTAAAACATAAGGAATAGAAGGAATCATGAGTACAATATATTCCTAATAACGAGTGTATTTTTAAGGAATGATAAGGAATTTAGTATTCCTTGTCATTTCTTTGGTCACCAGTTAGAGCCTTAGTGTTTGACAGGCAAGTAAGAAACATTAAGGGACATATTGGATTAGTAATTTGGATAAATCCAAATCTATGAAGATTTTAATGAATTTAAAGTTTTAAAATGATTTAAACAAATCATGTTTTCTAAATTCTCTCAAATACTTTCAATCTATGTATTTTTAACTCTAAAATACATCTTAAATCATCTCAAATCATTTTTAAAAATAATTCATTAATGAAATCCCAATTTTCCAATAAAACCAAATTTTAATGAATTTGTATAAATGACTAATCCAATAACCTTGGATCCAATAAAAAGGGATTTGAAAAAAAAAACAAAATCATCCCAAATCATTAATCTAAGGGGGGTGTATTGAAACTAAAATTTTATACAATTTGAAAAGATTTGAGTTTTAATAAAAATTTAGATGACTTTATGTAGATTAGGAAAGTTGATATAATTAGATATTAAAATTATATGAAATCCCACCTAAAATAATAGGATTTGGTAATCTAAATTTTTAACTAACAAATTTCACCAAATCATTTAAAAGAACTCAATATTTTGTAAAATTTACTATTTAAAATATTTCCAATAACAGTGGATTTGATTTAGTTTTTATAAAATTTTATTGAATAACATGGATGTTGAAGTGATTTTAATTGGTTTTAGATTTTAGTAAAACATTTAGAAATCATTAGTTGAATAACATGAAATTTTAAAATAACCACAAAATTTTTTAAAATTGCAGTTTCAATACACCCCTAAAACTTTCCAATTGGTCACGTCTCTAATAAAGTTGACGCTATATGTACACGGCTATACATCGTCACATTGACTCGTGACCGGAAACTAGTAGTCTAGTCTACAACACATGCGGCAAACTAAATCGGTAAATAAAAGTATCATTCTATATTTACTGACGATATTATAACAAAGGGATTGTAGTTTAGAGGTGATATTCGGTAAAAGACTCGGCACCATATATCACTGTGGGTTTCTCCTGAACGGCATAGATGGTTTAAATGACAAGAGTTCTGAAATTCTGGAGGAACTAGTATATATTTGGACCCATTGTTTATCGAGTTTAACAAAAAAAAAAAGTAAAACTATTATTTATATGGCTTTCAAAGTAAAACTGATCTCTTATGGTATAATATATCAGTAGTTTCTTCTCCCAACCTTCAAATATCCTTCAACGCCTTTTGCCATCTGAAATCTCAATCTTACTATTCTTTAAATTACAATGTCGTATCAAAGTTACTACACAAACATCTCATGCAAATATGTCGTGATCTTAGGCGTGATCGCAATCTTCTTCATCCTCGTCTTCTTCAACCAAACCAACATCAATTCACGATCTTTCGACAGTAACACGTTCACCGTGACATGTCAAGAGGGGCTCTTGCAGCCTAAGGAGGCGGCGACCAACTTGAGCCATTTGATGTTCGTTTTGGCCGGGAGCTCACGTGCGTGGAGCAGTCGAAGAACTTACGTAGAATCATGGTGGAGACCAAACGTGACACGTGGGAATATCTTCTTGGACGCGGAGCCGTCGGAAGAGTTCCGGCCCTGGTCTCCGACCTTCCCGCCGTTTAAAGTCAACGAAGACCTCAGGAAACTCAAAATCTACCGGAAGCTCCGAAATCGAGTTCACACTCGGATCTATAGATCCATTCTCGAGAATTATAGGCTCAAACAAGACGAGGGTGTAAGATGGTATGCTATATAAATACTAGTTAATATCACACACAAAGATAGATATGTTTGTGTATGATGATATTACAAAAAATTGTGATCTAACTTAGATCCTGTCCAAAATAAATAGGTATGTGACGGGTGATGATGATACTCTATTCTTGGTAGACAACATAGTGGATGTGTTGTCAAAATACGACCACACGGAAAAACATTACATCGGAATGTATTCGGAGACGATAAAATCAAATTTTCACTTCTCCTTTGAAATGGCATTCGGAGGAGGAGGATATGCTATAAGCTATCCTCTGGTGGAGGCTTTGGTGGTAAAATTGGATGAATGTATTGAGAGGTATCATTACATTTGGGCAGTTGATCATTTACAGAGTCTTTGTCTGGCTGATTTGGGCGTTGATCTTGTCCTGGACAAAGGATTTCATCAGGTATGCATGTGAAGCCAACCTCTTTGAAGTATAACTGAAAAACATTTTAATGAGAAAGCAAAAGAAATGTGCTATCTCGCGCCCACCCATTTTATTTCTTCTTATAACCAATTCTTGGATAATTTATCAACCTATATTTTATCTACCTATAGGCTATATATATACATTGGAAACACATTGCAATAAATTGATGGAAATATATATCCTTATCCAAGTATTGATGGAAACACATTGCGACAGATTGATCTGCGCGGTGACGTATCGGGATTTCTCTCGTCTCATCCAAATGCTCCTCTTCTCAGCCTCCACCACTTCGGGACTGTCGCACCGCTTTTCCCGGGTATGGACCGTCCTGACTCAGTACTTCATTTCATGAAAGCGGCTAACGTGGACCAATCACGGATGCTACAGCAGTCGATCTGCCACGTCAGAGTCAGTAGCTGGACCTTCTCGGTGTCGTGGGGATACTCTGCTCATATCTATGAGAAGATTTTCCCACGCAGCTACTTGAAGCGTCCCATCGAGACATTCCGTCCTTGGCGCCAAGGATGGCCGTCTTACATGTTCGACACGAGACCGGTTTCTCAAGATCCATGTGTAGCTCCTCACTGGTTCTTCTTCGATTCGATTGGACAAGAGAACGAAAGGGTTGTTACTTCTTACACAAGGAAGTTTCCTAGAAACATGACTTCTTGTTCCTTCGCCGGGAATACTTCTGCGGATCCTATTGCTTCGATCCGAGTCTTATCTCCCAAAACTCCCAAACAGGTACGTTCATCTTATCCCATGGGCATTTGAGTTTTACTAATGATGGCATTTAATACAGAAAATATCTGAAAATAACACTTACGAAAACTATTTATCAAAACTCAATATAGTAGGATTTGTTCTCACGCTCATACACTGACATTTGGGTCAATCTAAATGTATTAGGATTTATAAACTAACAATAAAAAACTTTGTAGAAACAGATGCATGTTAGGCATAAAATTCAATGAGTTTGCTATATTTGATAATATATGAATTTTGCTGTTAATTACGACATGTTTTCACTATAAACGGTTTGTCTCGATATTTTTAATATTAGGGACGAAAAGTGGAATGTTGCGACGTGGAATATGAAGGTGCAGAAGTTGCAAACATAAGACTCCGAGATTGTAGGGGAGACGAAATCATTGCCTAAGAATTATGGAGGGCACAAAATATTATTTATGTTGTAATTTCAACCTTCTAATCAAAATTAAGTATTCTAAGTTGGTATAGGCATACTGCATACAGCAATTAAGCTAACTCTGTCTTCAAGTAATTTGATCGTTTATTAAAGTCCTATAAGATTATCTCCACGGGAACAGGAGAAAAGTATACTGGGTTTTTAAGAAAATAATAAAGCGAAAGAAAAAAAGCTAGGCTTGAGACGATGCCATGGTTTTTTTTTAAAATAAATATGTTAGTACGGGTAGAGGACATTAAGAGCAACAAATCAGATTTCGTCACATCAGGGAGATACACTTCTTCTGCCCCTGTACAGAGAGTCCACTCTTCCTTTTAATCTCGCCATGTTATTATTATTATTATTATTATTTTTTTTAGAATTTTACGATCTGTTACCGAGAGCAATCCAATGGTAACATAATTACTATGAGGGTCTTAATGATACTACCGATGACGGACCATAGTTGATTTACATAATCATGTTTTGATTGTAACCACATAAAAGTTGGTATGAATTGACCATTTTTCCTAACCAATTATGTTTTCATGAATCATTTCTATATTTCTTTAGTTCCCCCAATTTCCCTATTTAAATCAAAGATCCGATATTGTTTTTAATCTTTGACAAGAAACATTAAGAGTTTCCAATTAGTCACGTTTGTAATAAAGTTAAACCAATATAATTATCCGGCATACGTCGTCACATTGACTCGTGACCGAAAACTACCAGTCCACAACACACGAGGCAAACTAACCGGTAAATAAAAGTATCGTTCTAAATTTACCGATCAAAGTATAAAATTTTATAACCAAGAGAATGGATTGTGGTCTAATATTTTGATCACCATATATATTATTGTGGTTCCCCTTGAACATTGTAAATGTTTTAACTGACAAGAATATCCAAAATTCTATAAAAAAAATATAGGAATTATTATGGATTTCGACCCATTACGAATCGGGTTAAAAAGATAGAAATATTTATCTCCATGGTTTTCGAACACTAGACTCCAAAACTTACCTCTTATGATATTTTTAATCACCTTAATTTGTTCAACCACCCAAAACCTCTTTTCTCAACCTTCAAATATCCTTCATCACCTTTCTCCATATGAAATTTCGATCTTACTATCTCGGAATAATCCAATGTCGTCGTCTAAAATTTACCACACAAACACCTTATGCAAATATCTCGTCATCTTAGGCGTGGTCGCAATATTCTTCATTCTCATCTTCTTCAACCAAACCTACATCGATTCACAATCTTTCAACAGTAACATATTCACCATAAAGCGTCAAGAGATGCTTTTACAGCATAAGGAGACGACGACGAACTTGAGCCATTTGATGTTCGTTTTGGTTGGGAGCCTACGTACGTTGGAGAATCGAAGAACTTACATAGAGTCATGGTGGAGACCAAACGTGACACGTGGCAATATCTTCATGGACGTGGAACCGTCGGAAAAGTTCCTGCCTTGGGCTCGGACCTTACCGCCGTTTAAAGTCAACGAAGACATCAAGAAATTCAAAATGTACCCGAAGCTCCGAAACCCGAGTCACACTCGGTTCTATAGATCCATTCTCGAGACTTACAGGCTCAAACAAGACGAGGGTGTGAGATGGTATGATATATTGATATGTAATCTAATATATAAATAGTTAAACTATCTCATCAAATCGAGATATATTAAATTTTCTATCAAAATAAAAAGAAATAGAGATAACTAAACTTCTATTAATTTTTTTAAAATGTTGTTTTATGTTTTTACACAACAAAAGTTTCGAAATTTCTGACTTATAAATGTTACAGAAATTAAGTTTACGTATTATAGGACTACATTCCAGCAAGTATTCAATAAACTTGAATTTTTCATTTTTACATCTCAATTTTATAAAACCTCTCCTCTTTTTAACTAAATAATTTGTAAATTTTGATTTCATGATTTTATGGGGGGTGACTTTGACAATTTTGTTTCGTCTCTCATATTCATCTTTCATAATAGTCGTAGTAGAATTTTTTTTAAAAAAAAATAGTAGTAATCAAATTAAAATATATGTTTCTGTATGATATTACAAAAAAATTTGTGATCCAACTTAGATATTGTCTAAAAAAAAAAATTAGGTATGTGACGGGTGATGATGATAGTCTTTTCTTGGTAGACAACATAGTGGAGGTGTTGTCAAAATACGACCACACGGAAAAACATTACATCGGAATGTATTCGGACAATATAAAATCAAATATTCACTTGTCCTTTGAAATGGCATTCGGAGGAGGAGGATATGCTATAAGCTATCCTCTGGTGGAGGCTTTGGTAGTAAAATTGGATGAATGTATTGAGAGGTATCATTACATTTGGGCAGTTGATCATTTGCAGAGTCTTTGTTTGGCTGATTTGGGCGTTGATCTTACCCTCCAGAAAGGATTTCATCAGGTACGTGCATGTCAACAATATTTCTCATGTGTCATATCCTAGAATTCACATGTTACATTTATTACAGTGATTTGATCTTTTTATCTATTACAGTGATTTGATCTTTTTAAGTTTAACATGCGACAGATGGATCTGCGCGGTGACGTATCGGGCTTTCTCTCATCTCATCCAAATGCTCCTCTTCTCAGCCTCCACCACTTCGGGACTGTCGCACCACTTTTCCCGGGTATGGACAGTCCTGACTCAGTACTTCATTTCATGAAAGCGGCCAACGTGGACCAATCACGGATGCTACAACAGTCGATTTGCCACGTCAGAGTCAGTAGCTGGACCTTCTCGGTCTCGTGGGGATACTCTGCTCATATCTATGAGAAGATGTTCCCACGCAGCCACTTGAAGCGTCCCATCGAGACATTCCGTCCTTGGCAACGAGGACGGCCGACTTACATGTTCGACACGAGACCGCTTTCTCGAGATCCATGTGAAGCCCCTCACTGGTTCTTCTTCGATTCGACTGAACAAGAGAACGAAATAGTTGTTACTTCTTACACAAGGAAGTTCCCAAGAAACATGACTTCTTGTTCCTTCTCCGGGAATATTTCTGCGGATTTTATTGCTTCGATCCGAGTCTTTTCTCCCATAACACCCAAACAGGTTTGTTCATCTTATCTCATGGGACATGGACATTTGAGTTATACTAATGATGGGGGTTTAATGTATGAAATATCTGAAAATGCCACTTTTAATATCGTTAGTTGTCCTTTGAATTTGTTCTTTTTCTTATATTCATCACTTTAGTTATCTCTATTTGTATTAGGGTTTTACATCTAACAATTAAAATACGTGTAACAATGGATGCATTTTTAGTCATAAAATTTGATGGTTTTTCTATATTTGAGAATTCATAATGTGTTGTTAGTTACTATAATTTTTCACTAGGAACACAACTTTTGATTTCATCCCATTTTTCAATCTCCATTAATATTATTTTTTTGGTCTGTTTTTAGGGAAGAAAAGTGGAATGTTGCGACGTGGAACATGATGGTGCAGATGTTGTAAACATAAGACTTCGAGATTGTAGGAGAGACGAAATCATCGCCTAAGAATAATGGAGAGCACAAATATTAGTTATATTGTAATTTTCAATCTTGTAATTAATTAACTTCTCTAAGTTGGTGTACGGATCTAGCAACAAAGCTAACTCTGCCTTCACGTAATCTGATATCTTAATGTCCAATAATATTATCTGAGTTTATAACTGTCTGGTGAATGTAAATGAGATGGTTACATGCAATTATGCATACAGAAGCAGCGTGAAAATTGTTTCATCACCCCCCTTTTTCGTCTTCTTTGTTTATTTTAGTCCTTTTTTTAAAAAAAAAAACGAGAAAGTTTCAGTACTTTTTAGTATTAGCCACCTGCTAAAACATACAAGTCACATGGTTTATGCACACCAACTCTCATGATCAACATTCCCCAAAACTTTATTAACTGTCCTAATATAACTATATTCTTTCTACACATATATGTTCACACACATCTTATCTATCTACCAAATCCTTTAGTGTTTCAATGGCATTTGATAACAACAACAACACCAAACTAACCAAATTGAGTCATATCTCTCAGAACCTATCAATATCTACCTTATGGAAGTCCATAGCGATATCCGGTGCTCTACTTTTTTTGTTACACACATTTGCGTTTAACCATCCTCATAAAATGATAACTCATAAACTCTTTGCGCCTCTCGACCTTACCTTCTCCTCCTCAGAAACACACGCACCATCACATTCATTGCAAATATCCAGAGAGCCTCCTACAAATATCAGCCATCTATTCTTTGTCATCGTTGGTAGTACAAGGACTTGGAGATATAGGAGAGGCTACATAGAGCCTTGGTGGAGACCAAACATCACAAGAGGACATGTCTTCCTAGAAAGACCACCTGGTCGTGATCTCTTGCCCTGGCCTCTCCAGTCTCCTCCTTTCTCTGTTAACAAAAACTCTTTCGCCACAAACATAAAATTCAAGACTCAGATCCGCCTTTTTCAATCGCTCCATGAGTCGTTTAACAAGGCGCCCAAGGAGACAAGATGGTTTGTAATAGCGGATGATGACACCCTTTTCTTCTTGGACAATCTAGTCCAAGTTCTCGACCGGTACGACCACAAGAAACACTATTATATCGGGATGAACTCTGAAAACGTCTGGTCGAATGCTATTTTCGCTTTCGACATGGGATATGGAGGAGGAGGATATGCACTGAGCTATCCAACTGTGGAAACACTATTAAACAAAATGGAAGATTGTATTGGGAGATACCTTGGAGTTTATAGCGATCTTCTCTCATTTCGTTGCTTGGCCGACTTGGGAATTGATCTTACTTTGGAGAAAGGCATGCACCAGGTAAAAAACATGTTCAATCCACAAAGTGATTCTTTTGCCTCATTCACTATATATTTTTACATAGTCTTTGCTTTGATGTTATAAACAGATTGATCTGCACGGTGACATATCAGGTCTCTTATCAGCTCATCCTCAAACTCCTCTTATCAGCCTCCACCATTTCGATGTCATAAACCCGATTTTCCCAGCCATGAACCGCCAAGACTCCGTAAACCATCTCATGAAAACCGCGAGAACCGACCAATCCCGTGTCCTGCAACAAACGATATGTTACCAACGAGGTAACAATTGGTCGGTCTCTGTCTCTTGGGGCTACTCAGTCCACATTTACCAGTCTATATTCCCAAGAAACTACTTGAAACGCCCTCTCGAAACGTTCCGGCCATGGAAGAATGTTAGAATCCCGTCGTATACTTTTAACACGAGACGGGTGACTCATGATCCGTGCGAGATGCCTAGTCAGCTTTTCTTTGATTCGGTTGTGGTGGACAAGAACCAAAGCTCGGTAACGACTACGTACACGGTGAAAACGGCGAGTAGTCTGCCTCCTTGTTTGACAAATGGCAACCATTCCGCTCGTAACATTTCACAAGTCCGAGTCATTGCTGCTACTATACACAAGATGGTAAACAGATATTTTCAAGTTACTATCATACATTTCCTCTATAATCCATTTCCATATGATCTAAGAAACGTAAGCTTTAAACAGGGTGAAGGAATCGAATGCTGCGATGTGCAAAATGTTAACAGTACGGAGATTTTGGAAGTGAAGATAAGAGCTTGTCATAAAGATGAAATTCTTGCTTAGGCCATAAGTATAAAAACGGAATTGCATCACATCTGTCATTTATCGAGATGTTGTTTTACTTCTAGTAGCAGTGAATCAAACCCCAAATGCATTAGTCTTTATGTGCTTTGTGAGAAAAATAGCCTTTTTGTGTTTGCGTGGATTTATCGACTAATTTTCTAGAAAAAGGACCAAAAAGACAACCAAATCAGAAACAATTGCGAATGAAGAAGACAAAGTAGTTTCGTATACATAAGTTGAAAGCAGATCATGTCGAATCGGGCTCAATAAGGTTCTTCCTCTTCTGCTTCATCAATGAGATTTCTGGATCCCTATGAGACGTGCGTAATCCACCCATCTGAGAACAAGAAAAAGCACAAAAGCACGAAAAGAACAAGTGAATAAAAACTGCCGAGGACAGAGAGTAAGAACCAGGCTTGGGGTTTTATGAACAACTTACAATAAGGAACCCAGGAATGTGTTGCCTGTTCTAACAGCGAAACACATGGCACTGAGTGCAAGCTTGTGTTGGTGTAGCATTGGCTCCAGGAGACGTTGTTCAATCACACCAGCCAATACTTGGTACCTGTTCATTTCAAACCATACCTCAGTCAATCTAAATGCACTATATCCGGTTTGTTCATCTTTTCTAATGCTTTTTTCTTTGACTTCTTCTGTAGTTTGGTAGAAAGAAACTCAGTACCTTAGGTTGCTGGAAACTGCCATGTAGACACCATATGCAACGCTTGTGGAGACAATTGGCACAGTCTCGACTTCACCTTCAGAAGACTGGTCCACAGCTCCTCGTGCTTTTATAAATGCATTTGTAACAGCGGTTCCAACCTAACCAAACATACAGATTCGTTTAAGCCAACAGAATGTAGAAAACGATATGCGAAGCAACAGTTTTTGTAATTTGCAGCCGAGTCCAGAAAACTCGTGTTTCCCTTTTAGGGTTGATATGTTTTGACTCACCAGCGATGATGTGGTTCCAACGGCAAACAGCTTAGCCCCATTGCGCTGCATAACATGTACAAACAAACATATATTATTCACAAACGATCAGCCGTAAAAGAACAACTATTGTGTGCAATTGAGATCACAAAGGAGGGAATTGATATTAAGAAAAAGAAAAAACCACACACCGCTATTGCACCTAGCCTTTGCAAGAGAGTATATGAGGTTCCAGAGATAGCAATCTGCAGCAAACGTATTCGGATTAGACGAGGACATAATTACTCAAACTTCACCAGCTTGTGCCAAACAATTCTTTTCACAAAAAATAACGATACCTGGAACGCATTATCTGGGCAGTTGTGGAAAAACTTGGAGATACCTCCAGCAGTAAGTGCGAGAGGTGGTCGAAGAGAAACGGTAGGAGCAGGAAGATACACCAACATAAAATCGGCAATGATGGCCATCACCTAGTAAAGCCAAAAAAAGGAAAAATGAAGCAAAGTGACAGTGAGTCCACACACACACACAAAAATCTAAATCTAATACAATTCAGCAGAAGAAGGTGGCAATGAACATAGCAGTGACAAAACTACTGTGAATCTATTTGCCATATAGTTCAAGTAGCGTTTCTTACAGAGTGACAAAACAACAAAAGGTGGCCCTTTACTCATCGTAAAACAAAAACCAATAAGACTCGGTCTACTATTGAACTGTTCAAAATTTGGTTCTTACCTCAGAGACAAAAGCAAAACTCAACTACCCTCACATAGTCATGCAAAAACTAATGGTGAAAAGTCGCAGAGCCCATCACAATCACAAACCAGCCAACCTTTCGTCTCCGCGAATGGGTCATCCAAAAGATTACTGTTCTCAATTTTCTCATCTATTCCCCTTCTAACAATATGACACTAAAGGAAAAAAAGGAGGCCAGAGAAGAATGATTACCACATCGGCGAAGACAACTTCAAGTTCATTGAAGAAGTTCTCTCTACGCCGTTCATACTCAGCAGCAGTCTGGCAAAAAAGAGAATCAAATTATGACCGATTAAAACCAAAAATTAAAACTTTCCATCGATGAATTGAATTTTCTAGAAAACGGTAAGAAATCACTCATTAAAAATCAAACCTTGGTGAAGACACCAACACCACATTCCATGGCGAGCTTGGCCAGGAAGAGATCATCGGCCAATAGTCTCTCCCTAAACCCAGCAAACTGCATCAGCCACCGCATCACAGCCGATTTCTGGAGCTCGAGGAACCGGGTGATAACCGATCCAGGAATCCGACCCGACTCAATAGCAGCCGCTAGATCCTTGGGCAGAGTATCCAATCCGGTTCCAGACTCGGCCAATATAAGCATCGCCTCGTTCCTGTTCCTATCTCTGTCCTCGCCACCTTCTCTATCCCCATCACTCTTACCGCCGTCGCCACCTCCACCTCCTCCTCCTCCGTTGTTGTTGTTACCATCAGAGCCGCCGTTGTCGATTGAAGCGGAAAAAATAGGGGAGATAGGGCCGCGGCGGTGGAAAGAGATGGACTTTGCGGAGAGAGCGCCGGAAAAGGAGGAGGAGGAAGAGAGTCTAGGAGAAAAGGTGAGGTGGGGCCATGTGAGATTGGATTCAGAGATAGATGTGGTGTTCGGGGTCGGAACACAGAAGAAGGAGGATGTGATTGCCATTGATGCGACGCGACTACCTTTACAGAGAGAGAGAGAGAGAGAGAGAGAGATCTCCGTGAAAGTCGTCTGCTTCTTCAGTCTCTCTGCGTAGGTAGGCGCGGTCGATTGAGGGCAGTGTAGAGTCAGCGAAAAAGAAGATTCTCTCTGTGTTTTGAAGGGTTTTTTCTTTTGGTGGGCCTCACGATAGATTCCAACTGGCGCGTGCTTTTCACGCTCTCTCTTACACCATCTTACTGTTGTTAATTCATACATTTTTCCTTTAGAAGAAAACATAAATCCATCTTATATTAAGATTAGTAGCTACAACAGTAAGAAAAAACACATTGGAAACTCGGAAACTTCTTGACATTCATCACATGGCCTATCCAATGAACAACTTCAAACACGTGAGAAAGGCAAGAAAAAGAGAGAACCGACACCATCTTCTCCAATCATTACCGTGTTGATTGCTTCTAAAACATAGTTCTGTCTTTCTGACAATTTGTCATCAAACACCGATGCTTTTGTTCCGCTTCCTCTTCTTCTTCTTCAGCTTCGTGTGCGCCTTTTAAAAAAAACAAAAAAAAAAAAATTCCAAACTACACTTGCTTCTTAGGTCTCTCCTTCTAATTGCAATGAACCGTCTCTCATTAACTTGAGGCTTAAACTGTTGAATCTTTCACGAGAATACTGACGCGACGCTTTTCTCCAATCTGTACCAGCTTTCATCATCGCAACAAACTCTTCATAGCTTATACGTCCGTCCTGATCATACGAAACAAATTATGCATTCTTCATCATCTCAAAATGCCCAGAGGATTCAACAATGTACAACAATTCTGAAACACCCTCTCAAGAATTTACCAAAACACCAAAGATCTCATCTTTTAGTTTGTGTGGGGTTACCTTGTCGGTATCAACATCTTGCATGATGGCAGCGATAACTTCCTCACTGCTAGTATCATCCAATTCATCATTCAAGGCTTCACGAAGTTCTTCAATCTCTATGTAACCACTCTGATTCTGATCAAAGAAGTTGAAAGCTTTATGCAAATGTTCATCATTCGCCATCTTCTTAAGGTGCACCGAAACAGCCACAAACTCGCCATAGTTCAGTGTCCCATCTCCATCAACATCAGTCTGCGGGGGAAAAAAAAGACAAAAAGTTCAATTCTCAGAAGTGATATGTAGCACCTGTTTCGAGCTTTAAACCTATAGAATTGAAAAATCCATACAGCTTCCATGAGAATCTGAAGATCGGCATCAGCAATCTGTTGTCCAGCTTTTTGAAGTCCATACTTAAGCTCCTCGAGGTTTATCTTGCCTCTCTTGTTTACGTCCATCATTTCAAATGCTTCCTTTATCCCAGCTGCTTCCTCCACTGACAAGTGTTCAGCTATCACCTACAAGAGGAAAACAATCTCACATTTTTGTTCCATTTTTTTGGCTTCTTAACCAGATTGAAAACAAATCGGTAATTATTGGCATGGTTTAACAGAAACAATACTCGAAGAGCTCGTTTCTTGAGCTTGTTCATAACAGAAAACTGCTTGAGCCTTGCTTTCACAGTCTCCCCTAGAGAGACATTTGGAGCCTTCTTTGCATTCAGTATCCAAGAATGTTCTGCAGATAAAAGAATTTCTTTATGAGTTACACACGATTTTCAAAGTATCCATCAGAAAACTCAGGCGCTGCTAAAAGCAGAAGCCTACCGAGAACTTCTGCAGCAGAAAGCCGTTTTCTGGGATCAGGTTCAAGCATCTTTCTCACAAGGTCTTTGGCGCTGTCAGAAACTCTTGGCCACGGATCTCTCTTAAAGTCAATTACTGACCTAATGATCGCTTGAGCCACTCCTTGTTCAGTCTCTTTACCACACAAAAAAAAAAACAACAAATAAAACGTCTGAAAGAGGTCGTAAGTGAATAACAAAAAGAATACGGTAAAGCATAAACAAACCGGCCCAAAATGGCGGGACACCACAGAGAAGAATATAGAGGATGACTCCTGCGCTCCAGACATCGATCTCAGGTCCATAGTTTCGTCGCAGTACCTCCGGTGCCATGTAATAAGGACTTCCAACAATCTCATTAAACTGTTCACCTGTTACAGTTTTTGCAAATTCAGGTGAAGTGAAAATACACTAATTAAATGTGATCCATTGATAACTCATAAAAAAACTGATTTTATAAATTTTACCAGGTTTAAAGAAGACGGATAATCCAAAATCAATGGCCTTAAGAGGTGATGCCTCTTTCTTATTAGCAAAAAGAAAGTTTTCTGGTTTAAGATCCCGATGCATCACTCCCTGCTTATGGCATATCTGTAAAGAGGGGCAAAACAAGGGATGTGTGAACACAAACAACCTAGACAAACAAAAAAATTGGATTTTAAGACAAGTTGTAAGCAACAGCTACAGAACCTGAACAACTTCAATTATAGTCTTCATAACCGCAGCAGCAGCTCGCTCAGTGTAGTGTCCTCTTGCGACAATCCGATCAAACAGTTCCCCTCCTTCACACAACTCCATAACTATGTGCACGGAATCATCATCCTCAAAGGAATCCTTCAAAGAGACGATATTTGGGTGTTTAGGCATATGCTTCATAATCTCAACCTCCCTCCTCACATCCTCTATATCCACTGCTGTTCTCAGCTTCTTCTTCGATATGGACTTGCACGCATACTTCTCGCCCGTTTTGATATCAGTACACAAGTAAGTTATACCGAACTCGCCTCGACCAACCTCCCGTCCCAGATCATACTGCGAGGATATGTCATGCCCCGTTGGGTTTTTCAACACGGAGAGCTTAAAGCCAGCTCCAGATCCATTTGCTGCAGTGTACTCGGTGCTGTAGAAAGGATTGTTCTTGTTCCTGGGTTTCCCTTGTTTACTTTCGTTCGTAGCCGAACTCGGATTGCCACAACAATTCCCCATTTAATCAAATCTCAGGATTCCTGCAAATTTTTCAAACCCAGGAAGAAAGTTCAAAACTTTGAGCAACTAATTTCCAAGGTGCCCATTAGTGTCTTAAGCCAAGAACTATTTCCAAATAATAACCAACGAATTCGAAATCAAAGAGAACCCTAAGATACTGAAAACTGGATTAAGTAAACCCTAGCTAAGACCCAAGAAAGATTCTAAAATTGGGGAAGGGCAAAACACACAGACCTCAGAAACGTAAATGGGGAGTAACATTTAATGGGAATAATCCAGTTGGAGCAAAAGGGATATGTACAAGGATAATAAATTAAAGGGAAAAGTCATCATACGGTGTGGGAAAATACAGATGCAGTGATAGAGAGAGAGGAAGAAGACGAGTCAAAGTCTTCCTCTTTCTCTCTCTTCTTCCAATGAGACACACACAAAGTGACTCTCTTCTTCTTCTTCTCCTCCTCTTTTGTGGATTCAAAGAATGACTACGCCTAATTTTAATTTGTGTTTCACCTGATTCTTCTTTCATTTGCTCTTCTTGTTGTTGTTTTTATATATTAATAATCAATCTTCCCGTTGTAGACCGTAGATAAAAACAAACAAATTATTTTTGCTTTATTGCTCTTTTTATATTCTGGGGTCGGATCAAATATTCTATTACCAGAATATGCATTTATATGCTCTAAACTGTTGTCGGTTACACATGGGATTCACACATCTCGTCCCCAATTTGTTTCTCAAGATCAATATAAAGGAACAAATTTCAACTCTGTTACACTTTCATCTCAGAAAAAAAAAAGCAAACGATTAAACAAACGTATTTTCCAATTTTCCAAAAGGGGAAAGGGAGAAACTGGTAAAAGAATAAAAACAAAACCTACTGACTATTCCCCGTCTCGTCTCCAAATCTAACACCTAACATAACTCGGCTCTCTTTGTACATCGTGACTGTAAAAAAACCCACACAATATGAGACACTGACAAGAACAACTAAAGCAAACACAAAACGCAAAAGCCAAGAATGATTTGCCAGTTTGGGGCAATGGATATATTTCGCCAAAGTGTCTCTCTTTCTCTCTCTCTCAGAGAGCTTTGGCTTGTTATGGTGCACCTGAAGAATTTAGGGTCTCGTTAGAGTCTGTCTCAACTGGTTCAGAACCTGATGAGTTCGTTGCTGAACCCCTTTCTCTTTCTCTCCCTGCTGCTGCTGCATCCTCTGCAGCTTCTACCTCAGTTTTCTTCGCAAACCGGCCTCCACTAGCCCTTGCCCTTCTCATTGCGTGCTTGTGTCTCGACTCATGAAGATATGGCTGTCACAGAAGACGTCACAAGTTAAACCGAGATACCCACTGGAAACTTATCAATTCTTTAGACTCGTTTTCAATCCTTCATATGGCATGAGTCCAGTTGTTTTTTTACCAAAGTTTAACATAAATGACCCTCACTTCTCAATGACTGTACATCATGCTTAGATTCCCAACCCGTGCTGCCATTTGCTGATAAGAATACAATTTTTTTTTAAAATAGAAAAAAAAATACCTTTCTGTTGATCACTTTCCTCTCTAGCTCTGCCTTGGCACGAGCTTTTCTTCGCCTTAGAATTCCCTCGTACTGTTTCGCATTCACATAAACAGGTTCTTGTGTCATGTCAAGTGGCAGCGCTGTTCTTTCCCGAGGCATTCCAAGATATGGACGAAAACCCTGCTTAACGCAACAAATAAACTTAGATGATCGGAAATTACTCGACTCATAAGACCCACGGAATCGTCAAGATTTTTTTAAGGTTCTTTGAGGTTTGAATTTTTAAAAATATATCATTAACTCTATAACAAACAGAATGTTTCATGCCAGAATCATTCCAGACAGCAAACAGGATCACCACAAATGGTAATTACTAATTAGTGGCAAGAGCGCACATACATCAAATAAACACTGCACCATATGGAACTATTGCAAAGACTGAGAGAGGTTTCGACAAGATACCAATGGCTGATGACCATATGCTCCCATCATTCCCCCACCATAATATGGATCCTGATACGGATTTGGGAGACAAGCCTGCAAAATGGAGCATGAGTTTCATCATACATACAAAGGGTATATATTCTATAATCAAAGACTGAGAGGAAACCACATACAATATAATGTCCAACAAGCTCTGGTGGTGGTACAAGTTGCTGGTCATGCATGCTGCGCATAGAAGCTGCCAAGTGCGTCGGATCATTCCCTTCCACTCCATGGTTATCTACTGAAATTGAAGAGAGGCACTTATTATAGATGACAAAGAAAAAAGATACCACATTTCAATGACATAATATCTCCTTTGCATCCAAAACCCAACAATGACAAAGCAGGTACATCTCAAAGACCAGATTTCATAACTTCATGACTCCGGCATATCCTATTGAATTCTTCACCAAATTGCAAAATAACCATATAACAAGATCACGAATCAAAACCATACTGCAGAAGAATGATATCTCCAGTCACAAACCAAGTAAGACAAACCTGAACGGGACGAAGTCGCAGCTTGTGAATCCTTCCAAGCGCCATCGTTTTCACCATTCAAGGCACCGTCTTCAGATGCTGACTGAACATCGTTCGATTCGGAACCGTTGGGACATTCCAAAGAAGAGGAATTTGATGGGATTCCAGAAGGTCTCGCTTGAGGAACGACACCGAAAGAGTTATTCTTCCACCATGGCTCCGGATACATCATCGGTTGCTGCTGATCAGCATGGTGATTGACTTCCGCTTCGTTTCCTCTTCCCGGTTTCGATTGCATAATCTCTACAAAAAGTAGGTCAACATATATGTTAGTAAACAGTAACCCAATTCCGAAAAGAACTTCTTCACTAAAACCGCTCTACAAACTACAAAAACAGCGATTTATGGGCTATTAAGCAATGCAGAGACATGCAAACATAAAGGTGAAAACTTTTAAACTCCCTCGTGTCTCGAGTTCACGATTCAAACTAACATGAGCTCGTAATCATATTACAGCAAATATTTCTGAATCCGTCACGATTTCCAGCTACGAAATTCGATACAGAAGAAAAAAAATGAAGAAGATTTAAAACAACCAGCATGCATACCAGAGGAAATTCACAGCAAGGTGTTTTTCAATCGTCTTCGAGGATGATAACTTGTTGACGATTAAAACCCTCAACTTATTTAACCGATCACGATTTTGCAGTGTTGAGATGAAAGCGACCAGAAAAGAAGAAAAAAAAAACCAGAATTCAACAAAACCAGAGAAGAACTTTGGTAAAGAGGAGCGATTCGGAACACCCGACAGCCGGCAGTAATGAAATTTCGATGGGATTGGGCAGATGAAAACCCTAGATTTTTGGGGATTTTCTCTCTTTTTTCCCCAGAATTGTATTTGTGTTTTCTTTATGTATATTTGAGTTAGCTAATAAAAAAACTTAGGAAACAAAACAAAAAAAAATTGAGGAATATGATTTTATCGCTCTCCGAACCCAAAAGACCGAGATTTGATAAGATCACCAACGAAAGTGAAAAACGTTTGCCACGTGGCGACCTATGAAAGACGCCAGCGCGCGCAGATCTGGGATCTTCTCCGGGTGACGTTATCATAGGTTCATTTAAAAAAAAAATATTTGTTTTTCGGCCAAAATTTAAATTAAGAAGTGAAACTTTGGGTCCAGGTGACACGCAAGTGATGGGCTGGGACGAGAGACACGTGGAAAACGTAGGGACCATAAGGCGAAGACAATTTGATTTTTTTGGGAAAAATACCAACAACTTTTGTTTCTAATAATATGTGAATGTGATTCCCCTATACATATTCACAAAATTTGAAGAGACAGTTATTTGTTGGGACGGAAGTATATGCTTCATACTTTCTTGTCTCCTAAAAGATGATAGTTGTTGAGTCCATTTTCTCTTTTCTTTGAACAGAAAACGAGAAAATTTCAAACGAGTAAGAAACATGCACATGTACATGTATCAGTACTGTAACGTATCTTACATTCTATTACCATCGTTTCATGTTCAACATAGAGCTAGGCGATGGTATGCTTATGTTCGCGACGAGTGAGTTCACACAGACACGGGTACGATGAACACATGTTGGTTATATATTGGTTAAGAAACCTTTGTTGTTAATTAAATATCGCACATGTACAATTCCAGTTCCACATCAAAAAGGACAAACATATTGAGATTGACATGTATTTTGTTTGAAGGAAAACAGCAACTAGGCTCGATATGTAAAAAATATACAGAGACCTTTATGTTTTCTTTTACCGGGTTTTGAAACAGTTGACATGCAAGATACTCATAACTTCAGCTAGGAGAGGTATTAGAGTATATGATTTGCATTTGAATTATCATTATTAATAACTTAATTAGTTAGCAAAGTATATCTGGTAAATCATTGCATTACGGAACAATGTTTCTTGCTTTTTATCTTACTAGAAGAACTTATCAGACGAAGGGGATATGTGATTATAAAGAACCAGTAAAGCAATAATGCTTAAACAGGGCTTTAGGTGTGATTTAGTTTTGACTTTTGAGGATTAATCTAGAAGACATCAGTTAAAATAAAAGAATAACTCAAAAGCATTTTCAAAATTTGCTCTTATCAGGCATTTCGAGGGGTACGAGAGGGTAAACTAGACAAAGTGAGGCTAAAACCCAAAGTCAATGTCTCGTTTCACACGACACCGACATGTATAATTCGTTTAGAACTCAATGTTAATACAACCAAATCCGTTTATGTGATAGACCTTAAGCCCATGGTTTAACCTCTCATATCATATGATACATAAATTTAGGGCCCAAATTCTATGTAATCAATAGATGATGAGTTGGTATAGTGAGAACTGAGAAGTGCCACTTTCAAAAACACATATAAACTGAATTAACGAAAACAGACAGAGCATACATACATACATACATTTATATCGAATTAAATAGGATGTAAATTTTAATTAATCATAACGTCTAGAATATTGACCCGAGATATGTATTAGTTCACCCAAACAGGTACAAAATCTAAAATAAACATGGTTTTGACTAATTTGTTTCAGTAAAGCAGAATTTCAGCTAGATTTACTTTGGATTATTCTTACTTTCACCAATCAAAGATAATTAGTTTTTTTAGCTAGAAAAAGAGAGAAAAAAAAAAAGTAAAACAAAGGAATTTGTTTCTCTATAAATCATTATATTTTTCCTTCTACCAACAATCACACCCTGAAGATAGAGGTGTAGAATGTAACAAGAGAGCATAATTTGTTTCTCTAAAAAAACTCATGAGGAAATGGTTTTCCTCTAATATTCGATATCTTTGCAAAATAATATATATCTTGATTATCTTCCATTAAAAAAGTCAAATTTTCAAATAAAAATAATATTCTCAAATTAAAACGAAGGAAAACTGTATTATTTAAAGCCCGAAAGACCTGCAGCTTGACCACCGTCTAAAAGTCAGTCGGAGTCCGCTCTTCACATCCAACGGCTCTGATTAAAGAATCAGATTCCCTTTTTACGTGGATTTGAAACCTGTAATCCAATACGCTTAAATATTTCCCCACGCGCCCGCCACCTTCTACCGCTTTATCCCGTCACATACGCTGCAGAGCTCTTTAAGCTCCCTACTCTATCTCTCACCACCTCTTCCGGTCACACCAGTTACCTCTCATCCGTTTTCGTTTTCTTCTTTCAAACAAAAAAACAATAACGCTCTCTCTCTCAGCTGTGGTGATCGATCTTCTTCTCCGTCTTAGATTTGTGCTCTTTTGACATTTTATCCCTTTAGATCTGGAAATGTGGTTCTGTCTTTTCCGCGTTAGCGTCTAGATTCAGCTGGGCTGTTCTCCGGATCGCACGATTCGGCTTGTGATCTTCACACAAGGTAAGCTCAGCTCACGGAACAATGGTGGATTAGATTTGGTGAAGCCCTTCGTTGTAAATTCATTTTTTTAATCGATTCTTAGAATATGTTGTGTTGCTCTTTTTCTCAATCTGAACTTTTTGTATTGGTTTACGAACGTGATTTTACTTGGTGATTGAGATTTCGTGGAGTTTAGAGATTTCGATTGTGGTTGACTGTTCATTGACTTGTTCTTCTTCTAAGCTTTTATTTTTAAGATATTTTAATTTTAATTTATTTTGGTTTTTAAGGTAGTTGGTATTTTGAATCCGTCTGTTCTTAAAGTTGTTTATCTGTTTGGTTGTGAGAGAATGTTTGATGAGGATGCTTGTCTGAACGACACTACTGAATCTGGCTAGCCTTAGAATTTAATTTCAGACGCTTTTCTTCTCGAAATTTACAGCGTTAACTAGATTCGTTTTTGACTTGTTTGATCTTTGAGTCTGCTTTTGGTAAAATCTTCTGACTTTACGTTGTTTCCTTTTTCTCGGTCAAAATTTTATTACAGTATTATCGGTTCAATAGTATTCCTTATTTGCCAATTTTCGTTTGACCAAATTTTTCTAATGATTCTTCTTCTACATTGCAGGCATACTTTATCGTTTGATTCACTGCACAAGCGAGGCTTTCTCATTTTGTTTATCAATTCAGATCTTTTTTCCCAGTGGTGCGGATAATCATGTGTGGTCTCTCAAAGAAGGTGGATACGGAGAATAATACACTGACATCGCTGTCAGACCAAGAGAGCGGTTCTCTGGCCAAACCCATGAACGATGCTGAGTGGGAACATTCATTTTCCGCCTTGCTTGAGTTCGCTGCAGACAACAACGTGGAGGGCTTTAAGCGGCAACTCTCTGTCGTGTCTTGTATCAACCAGATGGGTCTCTGGTACAGACGCCAGAGGTTTGTTAGAAGAATGGTTGTTGAGCAAAGAACCCCGCTCATGGTTGCTTCGATCTACGGAAGCTTGGACGTTGTGAAGCTTATTCTCTCTTTCCCCGAAGCGGAGTTGAATCTGTCTTGCGGTCCAGATAAAAGCACCGCTCTCCATTGCGCTGCCTCTGGTGCTTCTGTGAATTCCTTGGATGTTGTCAAGGTGCTTCTGAGTGCAGGAGCAGACCCTAACATCCCTGATGCTCATGGGAATCGTCCTGTTGATGTTCTTGCTGTGTCTCCACACGCTCCTGGTTTAAGAACCATCCTTGAAGAGATCTTGAAGAAAGACGAGGTTACATCTGAAGATCTGCACGCGTCGTCATCTAGCCTGGGATCAAGTTTCCGGTCTCTCTCATCATCGCCGGATAATGGCTCCTCCTTGCTCTCTTTAGATTCTGTGCCCTCTCCAACTAAGGCGAACGGTACGGATGGAGCTTTTGCATCGGAGAAAAAGGAGTACCCGATTGATCCATCATTGCCCGACATCAAGAGTGGGATCTACTCAACAGATGAGTTTCGTATGTTCTCCTTTAAGATCCGCCCATGTTCTCGAGCTTATTCCCATGACTGGACCGAATGTCCATTCGCACACCCAGGCGAGAATGCCAGGAGGAGAGACCCGAGGAAGTTTCACTACACCTGTGTCCCGTGCCCGGATTTTAAGAAGGGTTCATGTAAGCAAGGTGACATGTGCGAATATGCTCATGGGGTGTTTGAATGCTGGCTACACCCTGCTCAGTACAGAACACGATTGTGCAAGGATGGGATGGGTTGTAACAGAAGGGTTTGCTTCTTTGCTCACGCAAACGAGGAGTTGCGTCCCTTGTACGCTTCTACGGGCTCTGGATTGCCATCTCCTCGAGCTTCTTCTTCGATTTCCGCCTCCACTATGGACATGGCTTCGGTTTTGAACATGTTACCAGGCTCACCATCTGCTGCTCAGCATTCCTTCACCCCACCGATCTCTCCTTCTGGAAATGGTGGTATGCCGCATTCGTCGATGGGTTGGCCTCAGCAGAACATACCGGCCTTGCATCTTCCTGGAAGCAATATCCAGTTGAGCCGTCTGAGATCTTCTCTGAACGCTAGAGACATTCCTTCTGAGCAGCTTAGCATGTTGCAGGAGTTTGAAATGCAGCGCCAGCTCGTAGGCGATATGTCCAGTCCACGGTTTATGAACCACTCCGCTCGTCCCAAGACACTGACCCCTTCGAACCTGGAGGAACTTTTCTCGGCCGAGGTTTCATCGTCCCCTCGTTTCTCTGATCAACTCGCTGTCTCATCTGTTCTATCGCCTTCCCACAAATCCGCGCTTCTTAACCAGCTGCAGAACAACAAGCAGAGCATGCTTTCTCCTATTAAGACAAATCTGATGTCTTCTCCCAAGAATGTGGAGCAACATTCTCTGCTGCAGCAAGCCTCGTCACCCCGAGGCATGGAGCCTATTTCCCCGATGAACTCTCGAATGAAGCAGCAGATACATTCGCGTAGCCTTAGCTCTCGTGATTTTGGATCCAATCTGCCACGTGATTTGATGCCGGCTGATTCTGGTTCGCCACTGAGTCCTTGGTCAAGTTGGGAGCAGAGCCATGGAAACAAGGTGGATTGGTCGGTACAGTCGGATGAGCTAGGTCGGTTAAGAAAATCTCACTCCTTGGCTAATAATAACTCGAACAGGGAAGCAGATGTTCCATGGGTTCAGCAGCTGGCAAAAGACTCTGCTTCACCAAGGAACAGCAACCGAGTCATGAACATGAATGGCGCGAGGCCATTTGTTCAAGGTGGTTCGAGTGTGAACCCTCACAGTGACGGTCGTGAGGGCGACATTCTTGATGCGTGGCTCGAGCAGCTGCAGCTGGATCGCTAACTCAGGGAAAAAAAAGAAAGGTTCACTGCGAAGCTGTGAAACTGATGATTTGTTTATTTATTATTCAAGAAAGCACAACGGAAGGCCAAAATTCCGGGTAAGCGCTTTTTTCGATTCTAATAACCCTAAAAGGCTCAGTTTTTTCAGACTTCTTTCTGAAATTTCATTACTTTTGTATGTTTACCTCAATTAAATTGATTATTGTCTCTCTGTTGTAGCAAAAGAGGTCAAGTGTTCCTCTTTGCCTCTTATTTGTTTCCCGTAATTTTTTGTATTCTCGTTTGTCAATTGTTTCTATGTATCTCTCTCATTCATATATTTTGTCAAAGAACCTTCTATGAGAAATAATAACATACTGTTTCAGCTAAATAATAAGATTCATTCATTTCCTTTCGCTTGTTTTCTCGTCTCCCAGCAACTACTATTCTAACTACTTTATGTACACGTGAATATAACAAAATTCATTTTCGTTGGGTTGGTGGCGCAATTCACGTTTACGGATGTGGAAGTAAAGTAACTATCAAGTAAAGGTGGTGGTCTCACTTTAAAAATCTCAAAGAAAAGTTAGACGACAAACAAAATTGATGCAAGTTAAGATTCGCTTACACATCAAAAATGTGAGTGAGAATATAAAAATCGCAGGCAGAGAATCTCTGCTAATCCCTTAAAAACCCTGATTTTAATCCTTCTCGAATCTGAACCTCAAAGCCATTCTGAGAGATTATATATAAGTAAGGAAAAGAATGGGTATACTACTGTGTGGTGAGCATCACCACAAGCCAATGAACTTCCACCAGGCACCACCTACACCAAGCCAGATAAGAATGTTGACTATCGAAATCAGGAATCCATAGCCCCACCATTTAGCCAGCGGCACGTAGTTAGCCCCGTAGAAGATAGGCGCAGACCCGATACCATAATGGGTCAGTCCTCCCATCAGGTTCGAAAGGAAGGCAAGCACCAAGGCTGCAAAGTAAGGTGGTGTGCCTAGAGCCGTTGAGACCGATAAAAAGGCAGTGAACATAGCCCCAATGTGAGCCGCTCCACTCGCAAAGAAGTAGTGAGTGTAGAAATACAAGAGCACGAGGATTCCGAAAGATAGTTGCCATGACAAACCTAATCCTCCCACAAACTGCAATCAAACCCAAAAATGTCAAAACAAAACATTTAAATTTGCCAAGTGATCAATCAGGCTCTTTAAGCATCGTTAGCGAACCTTGACAACGGTCTGGCTGAACCACTCAATGAGACCGTATTTGTTAAGATAACCAGCCATTGCAATGAGAGCAGCGAACCATGTGAGTGTGTCCCATGCGACTGACTCAGCTAAGCACTCTTTCCATGTCACAACACCTGTCACAAGGAGGACTGATAACCCAAGAATGGCTGCAGTCACGGCATCTACACCCAACTTAGCTCCGAAAATCCAGAGACCAACCTGTGTCAAGGAGAGAACTTGTTCAGAAAAGCAAATTCTTGTGTCCAATAAAACACAAGAAACATAAACATTTTCACTCAAAACAAGTTGAGCAGAAGCAGAGCGCTTGCTTCATCTAAATGAAGGAGCCACAATAGCTACAAATCACCGTTACATGTCAAACTCTCAGTAAAAGTGATACCAAGTAGATTCATAGTGGTAGAGTATAGTGTCATCTGTTGAAAACGCAAACCAAGAGAAGTATGTAAACAGAGATCATCATGAAGCAGAAGCACACTTACCGTGAGAAACAAAGTGACAGCCATAATCGACTCGTTCTTGGACATAGGTCCCATCTTATCAAGCTTCTCCTGAGCCAGCTTCGGGGCATCAGGGCTGCTTTTGACCGTAGGGGGATAGATAAGATACAGAAGAAACGGAACAACAATCAATGATACAAGTCCTGGTACTATGGCAGCTTTAGCCCAATCAGTCCATCCAATCGTCTGCTTGATCGTGTTGAACGCCAGATTAGCGCTCAAGGGATTCGCTGCCATCGCCGTCAAGAACATGGCGGAAGAGATCACGGACGTCTGGAAACAGGTGAGCATCAGCCACGACCCAAGACGGTGCTCGGTTCCATCCCCAACGTTGCTACCACAAGCGACGCAGAGAGATTTCACCAACGGGAGAAAGATGCCACCGGCACGAGCGGAGACGGAAGGAATCGCAGGAGCCAAGAGAGCTTCACTGAACACGAGACTGTAACCGAGACCGAGCGAGGAGCTCCCGAAGAGCCTGACGAACTGGTAGGCTACACGGTTACCGAGGCCGGTCTTGATGAAACCGCGGGCGAAGAAGAAAGCGAGAGCGATGAGCCACGGGATCGGATCTCCGAAGGCGGAGAAGGCGGCCGCGAACGTCAGGGTTTTGGTGAGAACGGAAGCTCCTAGTCCCAATAGAGCCACCGCTCCGAGCGGAAGCGGCTGCGTGATGATCCCGACGATCGTGGCGAGGAAGATCGCGAGTAGCTGCCACGCGTTGCGGGTGACTCCCTCGGGAACCGGTACGAACCATAGAATCAAACCAGTGGCGATCGACGCGATAAGCGGCTTAATCGCGGCTCCTTGCCATGGGACCGGAGCTGGGACGACGGGAGAAGGAGAGGAGGAAGAAGAGGCAGCCGCGGCGGAAGAAGCCTTGACGAGAGTTGATCTTCGGGTGAGAGCGACGGGAAGTGGAGATTTCACTAAGGAGTTAAGATTGGAGATGCGGGAGTCGGTAGATCGGAGTGGTTTCAGCAAATTGAGAGAGGAAGGAGGTCGAGGGAGAAGGAGAGATCGAGATTTGAGGGGAAATGCGAGAGAGCAGGAGCCGGAGAGAGCGAGGGACGCCATTGTTGTAGCGTCGGCGAGAGCAAGGACGTGAAGAGAAGTGAAGAAGAAGGAGTAAGAAGAGAAATGAGAGAGAGGGTGTACACAAACAAGAGACTCGAATGGTGACCGTTGGATTGGAAATCGGACGGTGGATGTGGAAAAAGGAATCTACGGACAGAGATGAGTGATCAGATACGGCGATGAGTTGATGAGAGAGTATAGTCGTGAGGTGGGAAATAGAGATCTCCGTATTTGGTGGGTCACCTCATCTATTGGCCAATATACTGTCGAAAAGCCATATGGTCTTTTAGATCCAGCAAAGCAAAATAAACAAACAAATAAAAACGGCCTTCACTCAACCAAATTTTTCTATGAATTTAACCTTTTTTTTAAAATAGTTAAGAAAATTTATATGGCCAATGAAAACTCTACTGTAGTCTGCAATAGAATAGCTTTCGAAAGGCATTTTCAAATGTTCTTTAAAAAGTTTTTGATGTTAACCAAACGACGGTAAATATATATTTTTATTTTTCAATTTCTCTTTGTTTATTGAGTTTTGGACCATTTGTCGTTGTTAACTTTTTTTGTCGTCACGAAATTATAATGGTTTCGAAACTTAGGTCTGCGATAGTATTAGATAGAGAGCAAATTAAATACAAACAGTAATTTTCTAGCTTATATACAAGCACAGACCATTACAACTGTATATAATCCCATATTATCTTATTTAAATGATTTTGTTAGTAAATTATTTACATTAATTTCATCAGAACCAATATAATAGCAGTTCTTTTTATATGGTAAATAAATATTTTTGAAATATCATTTATTATGTGCAATGCATGCTTAGCATGGTCGCATATGTTACATCTTTGTAAACAGTCAAGCAGAGATGAGTCAAAACAATATAATTCCATGAGTGATTTGAAAGCAATTCTTCTAACTTGTTTTGACACCAAGATACAACGTAGGTTATACAGTCTTATCTATAATTAATTCAACCAAAATATGCATATCCCTTTCCTCAGTATCGTAAGATTGACCACACAATGCGCAATCGACTATACCTTTTTAGAATCTCAATCTTGTATTTGTTTATTTCTTCTTTTATTAAGAGATATGTGTATTTTTACATTGACTCATCATTAGATACGGCACGTCAAGCCCTAGTACGAAAAGATTATTCGAAATACAAAACACTCTCTAACTTTTCATCTATCCTTTTACACTATAACAATGTGTATATTTATATTTGCATTTATGTGTGGCTAAAAATCTTGAGTGTAGTTCCGCAACAGAAAAAGAATAAGATGACGTAAAAACTCATAGGTTTTGTTTGAAGTTGAAGTAAAACGAAGGAACCTCGGTGTTCATCAACTGGTCAATGTCCCAATATTCTTCCATTCTCATACTCTCAGGTACGTTTCCAGCTCCATTAGTGTTCATGTCGTCTAAGTTGCTGTTAATATCTGCCTTGTACCAGTCACCTTGTTCACATTCCAGAGGCGGGAAGTATAGTTCCCCTTGTATCCCTGTGTTTACTCCATAGAAACCATCTGCATAAGGGGTAAAATCGTCATTACATGGGTGGCTGATCATGTGTGGCGCTGGGAATGGATTGTTGTTGGTTGGTATGTTGGTCAAAGAGGGGTTGACGAATCCTTGTTCTTGCAAGGACATGAAGCTTCCTATAATGTCTTTAAGCTCCATAGAAGAGGAGGAATTAGAAGATGAGTCACTTGCGTTGGGTGATGAGGATGAGTTGTTGATGAGATTGGATGTATCAGACATCTTCTTAAGCCTTTTCTTTATTGTTGAGTTCCAAAAATTCTTGATCTCGTTGTCGGTCCGACCAGGCAATCGAGCTGCAATCTGAGACCACCTATGAATTTGAAGTTGAAGAAGAGAGTACTTTAATGAGACGATGTTATGTGAATTTATATAAGTGCATGGTTTGCATGGGAATTAGAAACCGACTTAAGGACGTTAACACAAAGCAACACAGATATTTCAGAATTACACAATAACTATACAGTTTACGAAGTTTTACTTTTTGTTTAAACTAAATTGTCGTTATATGATTTCACATAAGTTTAATTTGACAAAAAAATCTGTAATTTATCTCTATTTAGAATGAATTAACATACAAATATAAAAGATAACATGATCACACAAGTCCAATAGGCAATAGCCAATTGGTTTCATAGGCACGATAACAAATTTAACTTGTTTTTTTTTTTTTTTTTCGTATAACAAGTGTTGCAATTAAACAACATTTTTTTTAAAAAAAGGAACAAATTATATAATAGAGAAAAATAATTACTTTTTTTGGGAAACCATGTCCAACGTAAAGTATAAACTAATAATACATGTACGTTTCTGTAGAAAGTGACAGGTAAAAAAACTTATAAATGTATAATTAGAAAATGAAAGTTGAAGTAAAACCCTAAAGAAGGGAAGAAAAGGGGTTGCTAAAGAGACAATAGCCGCTTTCACTAAAAGATGTGTTTTATTTTTTTTAAAATTTATAAGACGCACTCTGAAGTCTTAACACCCACGATTAACGAACTTTGACCACTCACATAATTACATGTGAATGTACCTAATTAAAATTTGGTTTTTTGCGTCTATTTTATATTGTTACTATTATTGTTTAATTCAACTCTTTTTCTTACCAACGATTTAATTCAACTTTCTATTGGGTCAATTTTCTTCACAAACAATCATGCATCCCTTTGAATATAATCAGTTATCGTACCAATGAAAACCCGAACCAAAATCTATCCGCCAACTTGAAGTTCGATGATTATACATTTTTACGATGTATATAATCTATGACTTATATAGTGTATCATATCCACAATAGAGCAAATTGAAAAACACAAATTGTTAATGTTCATTTGGTCTGCACACATAGCCCATTCTTATTTAACCAGCAGAAGAAAAAAAACTTCAAACAAAAACATATTAAAAACATAGATTACGTTGTAGTTCATCAAAACATGCTTTTTACCCATTAACCAAAAAAACCAGCTAGACAATCTAATAAAACAAGATTCACCTGAAAAATGCTGGTTTTAATTTCTAGCAGAGAAAATTTATCCACTAGAGTTAGCTTATTTCATATTTTTTTTTTAAAAAAAAGCTGAAACGATCTAAAATAAGCAAAATGATGGGAAAAATACAAACCTGTTGCCGAGAATGGAATGAAAGCGAATGATGAGTTCCTCTTCTTGAGGAGAGAAAGCGCCACGCTTGAGGTCAGGACGAAGATAGTTGATCCAACGAAGACGGCAGCTTTTGCCACATCGTTGAAGGCCTGCGTTTTTCGCGACATCGCTCCAACATCCTTGCCCATTGCTTATCATATATTGCATCAGCTTTGAATCTTCCTCTGGAGACCAAAGCCCCTTCTTCATCTTCTTTACTTGATGAGTGGCTGCAATTGCTAACTCTGGTTTCCTCATTTATTTCTCGTTAAGAGTTTAATTGTTTCTCTCTTAGTTTGTTTGTCTTTCTCAAGGATCGATTAATTGATGTGAACGAGTGAAGTTTGTTTTTATAATAGAGAGAGAAAAGAGAGAAGACTTGATGAAGGGAGAATGATGATGATGATGAAAGGGATGGTTGTATGGTTTGCTTACAATTCTGGGAAGAAAAACCATTACACACCAATTTTCTTCTTCTCTTCCTTTTTAATCTCTATTCCTTAATTTTAGTATTATTTTATACATATATACATACACTTTATGTGTTGCTTTCTTTGAAAACAAAAAAAAAACATCGGAACCATGGCTCTTTTTTCAAATTAATTTAATACATTTTTTAGTTTGAGGTGAAAAAAAATACAGCAACAACAAATGTGTATATAACTAATTAACCAAGTGAAGAAACGTTAGTTGATCGGTCATGGACGAAAACGGTTTTGAGAGAGACCCCAAAATGAAAACATCAAAGACAACAAGGAGAAGTGCTCTTCACTTGTTCTTTTTTATCTTTTCTTTTTGAATTATAACCCATTTCTATTAGTTTCTTCATTCACAAGGTATATATTACAGACATGTCTAATTCGTTAACCTTACGTGTGCGTGTATATATATAATATATAACATTAATATATATATATTCATGAGCATGTATATATTCTATTCAAAGATGTCTTCATTTTCAAGGTAAGCAAATGTTGTGTTTTTTTTTTCTTTATAAATAAATGTTGACGAGTTGTGTTATTTCATTAATTGTTTACGTATATAAGCATATTTCGATTGTAAAGTCGACGAGTGTCATAACCCTTTTTGTTTGTTTTATATATTAGGCTAAGCCGAGCAAGAAGTTTTGCTTCGGCTTCACACAACCACCTCTCGCGCACCAACACGTATACTTGAAGAAATCAAATTATTGTTATGGAGAAAATATTATACTCCTTTTTATCCATATATTTTCTCTTTTTATTGATATAAACGTGGGTCATGATTTTTAACTTCTCGATTTACACTCATGATTTATAGTATTATCTTGTGCCCGTCCATCCAGGAAAAAAATAATATAACTTTTAATAACAATCATAAATAAAAACTTCCCTAGATAAAGTACAAAAGAAGGTAGAATATTGAATCTTGAACAAGATTTCTAATATAGAAGGCGCCAAAGATCTTAGGTATTAAGGAATATATTTGTTTTGTGGAGATCTCTTTGACTCTATGTTTTGAAGACTCTTGTTATTGGCTCTAAACAAGATGATTCAGAAATGTGCGTTTATTTCGACTATACCTCTTTCAGTGTTCGAATCAATATTCAGACCATGCGATTTGGCTTGGAAAGGTGGCCCGCGGTGCAATATAGTATTGATGTGGTTTGTTCTGGTCAGGTGTGTTGGGTCTTTTTTTGGTGAAAACGAGAACAAATACTCAATTTTCATCAACGAAATAGAGATTAATCTGTTTTAAGCAAAAAATGATTGTTCCTTTATCGTAAGGGAGTGTGAGATTTTGGTTATACAATTAATTCTTAACAACAGAAACAATCATTATTGTGTAACAATTAAAAAAAAATTGATTTTTTTCAGTGCAATTTCTCAGCTAAAATTGTTACTTAATTACTTGAAATTTAGATGACATAATCACAATCTTAAAACAAAAATATTAGTAGAATAGAAGTTTGCGATGGGAAAATAGATTGAAAGATTAGTTCTGAATTTATGAAAAGCTCATTCGGTAATTTGACAATTTTTTTTTCTTTTTACATAGTAATTTGACAAAAATATTAATCTTAAGTTTTATAAAGAAGACGTCTGATAAGGCTAACCCTAATGCAAAAGAAAATAATCTCATTAAAAATAGCAATACAGTAGAGTGAGGTTAATAACTGTACAAGTGTAGGGTCATGCGTATTAAACTCTTTTGAGACTGATAACGGAAACCTCAAGTTTGTTTATTTGAAATACTAATCATGCATATACAATACATCATTTTCTTAAATGAAGACAAAGTGGTTACTAGCTTGGAAAGCAATTATCACACTGAAGATTAACAAACTACCATTGAATCAAAGCATTAGCTTAAACTTGAATCTTACTTTACAGGGTGATGTATCTTAACCTATAATTTTATATATGTATTATATTTCTGTTTTTGTAATAATAACAAAAAGATAATTAAAGTATTACTCACTTCAGGGTACCTATCTTTTTGGTGACAAAATCTAATTGGTTAATCATTATGATTTATGCATCTACATAAAATTTTGTGGTGGAGAACTTTCTGTTACACACTTGTGTCTGATTAGATTGTCTTTGAAGAAACACACATTGAAAAATGGACTTCATGCTCTTTCAGTTAATTCACAATCCGCATTTTCATATGTACATAAGTACTGTACATTAAAAGCAGCGATTGCCATCTTTAACCTAACCCTACCGTCCCGTTGGATCGCTAAATTCTTGTTAATAAGAAGAGTCACCAACAAAAAAAATGTCATCGAAGAAACTTATTAGTAGCTGTTAATAATTTCATTACCTGTAATAGCTGTTAACAGCTAATAACTTGCATTTGTTAAGCTGTTATCTTGTTTTATTTGACCTTTTATTGTATTTTTTTTATAATTTGGTGCAGCTTTTTTATTGTATTTGCTTTGACGCGGCGTTATATTCGATTTTATACTTTGAAGAAGAATAAAATAAATTTTGCCTTCTCATCATCTACAACCTACAGCTAAACCGCGTCGGCCACGACGGCTTCAAATCATAACATTCAGTCAATGTAAAGGAAAAAGTCATTGAGTAGTAATAATATAATACTTCAATTTGATAACTGTAATTATTTTTCAACAAAAAGTACTAAAAGCTAAATGTAGTTGGGCACCACTAAGGATTTTTTTGTAGTAGGACATCAATTTCACAAAGTTTATTTGTAGATGGAACATTTCCAAATTTTCAATGGGATCTTTCTAATTCTGAAAAGTTGAAACTAGAAAGATTTAAACTTTCTAGGCTCCCTTAACGTCACCAATATGAGCTGATCTTGTCTAAGTTACAAAAAATCAGGTTTTAATGTAATGCATTAAACGATAAAGTGGAACCAAGATATGATGTTGAAAGAAATAAAAGGACTAAAAGAGCATACAGCAGCAATTTAGATAGAACTCTTTCTAATTTTACTATTAAATTTTAAACACTTTTTCTTTGAAAGTTATACTACGTTTCTAAACATCGAACAGAATCTCCTAAACGTATATAATTACTTCATTAGCCTAAAATCTACCTCCAACACAAAAGGCTAGTAGAAACAACTGCAACCGTTTTAATAATTATTCATTCCACATAACGAAGATGATCGATTTCTTACATACCTTCCTCACAGTCACTTGAAAAATTGCCCATTAATTCTGAACTTAAGATCAAAAATAAAAAAAACCAAAAATAAAAAAAAGAATAGTGAACATATATGAAATATAAACCAGAATTGATCGAACTGCTCTGCCTTCATTAAGCATAGGCTGCAGATTCAGAATCTGTAACCGGAGGAGGTGGAGGAGGGGAGAAGTAACGGTAAGGAGAATAAGTTGTTGGAGGAAGTGGGGCTTTGTATTTGTAATGAGGGAACTTATGATTTGATGATGAAGCAGATGAATACCCATAAGCTACGGCAATCATGGTGATGACGACGGTGAGAACCATCAAGAAGATGAGTCGTGTCGGCCATGATCGTCTCATCTTTCAATTCCCAAAAAAAAGAGAAATTGAAATTTTTATACCTTTTTTTTTTGTTGTTTATGAGTT